TTTTTACCAATTTCTTGATGACGACGAAGGCGTGTTTGAAAAAATATTTGAATGGAAATTTCATCCAAATATTTTTCCATTTCCATTATGGAATAGAAATAGGAAACATTGTGTTTGTGTTGATTGAAAATGTATTTTTTGCTTTAAAATAAATTATATTAGCTTCCCTCCCAAAGATAAGACAAAATATGCATTAGAAGTTTTTTATATTTTTTTGTGATACGCCACTGGTTACACACTCCATTACCACAAAATTAATTTTTTTATCGGATTTTTTCTTTCTGTTTGCTCAGTTGAAATTAGGACAAGTTCACAATTGTGAAAGTTTAACTTAAGTTAAACTTTAAACATTCAATTTGTGTAAATAAATCCAAAAGCACTTCCCTTAGTTAGGATAACACATAACAGGATAGCACATAACCTATAATTTGAAAGAAATGCACTAGATTCTGTCATAAAAGTTGCCAGATTTTGTTTGAATTTACTTTCATTACAAAAATGACCTAATCAACAATTAATAAAAACGCCAAATTAACAATTTGCATTGTTCATTTTGTAATTTTTGTAATTAAGCTAAATTTAAACAGAATCTGGCAACTTTTTTGACAGAATCTGAAAACGTTGGTTGTTACCAACCATAACATAATAAATTAAATTAGGCAACCAGATAAGCCCAAAGTTCCTAGTCGAACAGTGGCGTACTTTTTAGTAGGATAAAGGTTATTATAAATTACTTTTAGTCTTTAGAATTTGAAAAAACAAAGTTTCAGGTGCTTCTTTATATACCCTAAAGAACTACCCATTTTAAAATATGGGTGATTCTACAAAAGTTGGACAATTTGATGTCATCAGTCAATAGAGTAGGTATTTTAATATTTTTTGTAAATATTTTAGTATATTACAAAAGATCCAGGTTTTTTTAACTTGTCCACCCAATTTTAATGTATTTTTTCAAAAGCACGTTTGTAGAAAAACATAATAAATATTCAAAACATCAGTACCTTGGCGTGTCACAACTCCTGAATCAAATATTTGAGTGGGTTTATTTTAAAATATATTCAATTTATCTTAAATTTTTCAATTTCACTACAAACTATAAAACATTAAATAATGTATTTTTCATATTTTATCATACATTCGAATAATAGCAATTTTTAAAAAATTGATAATCTTTGTACTCACTTTTACCCGTCAGTTCTGTGTCCAATATTAAAATTCAAAATTCCTGCGAAATATTGAAGTTTAATCGTCAAATCCTCGTTTTAACTCAAGTGTTGGTAGAAAATTACCTACAGAGCCCGCCCTTTGCACGACAGTCATCTTGAAAACAATGCAAGCGGCGAAGTTGTGGTGAATGCACGTATATAACTATAGTTCCAGTCAAAATTTTCGTACTGTGGCGAGTAGTTATTTTCTTACGAATATATATTTCATTGTAATTTATATAAGGCTATATATGATTTGTTGATAAGTAGCATCCACTAATAAAAAATATCAGTAAAATACTTAATTCCGAATTTTAATCTCAAATTTATATCCCATTCATCAGTACCGTGTCGTCAGTTCCATGTTCGATGTTTCGGTTATCTTTTTTTCGCAAACTTCAATTTAAATTCTGCTTGCGCAGAACTTGTTTGTTTAATGTCAATATAAACTCGTATAAATTTGGTGTGGGTCCCATATCTAATAATTGAGATATCGGTATACCCAAAATCCACCAGCAGCCACTGATGTGTGGTATTATTTGATTTTAAGATATTTTATGTTTAATATGCTCAAAGTTGCAATTAATCTTATATTTTCCAATAAATTATGTATTTAATTAGTACCCTGGTATACTCGTCACTTCCCTTGCATTCAAATTTAGAAAACAGAGATAGTTCAGAAACTGTTTGAAAAAGTGACTGGAACAGTATATTTATTATATTATCCATGTTCTCATAACAAAATACTGTTTAGTTTTTTCCGAAAACTATATAAACAAAATTAGGTCAAAAGTTGCCCAACTTTTGTAGAATCACCCATATTACATTAATTACATAACACCCTGTTTATATTTTTTTAATTAAAACATTTAATTTAATGTGTTGGACGGCATTTTACTATGAGGCGCCGTTTTTCCGTAAATTATTTTTGCTATATACAGTGTGTCGCACTTAAGATGAAGACACTCCCATATTTTCGCTATTTGAAGGAATAAAGGTTTGAATTTTTTCAAATTCATACATGTTGATGGGTCACATTTTTTAAGCTGCTCAACTGAAATCTGAACTTTAAACTTGGCCTACTACAATCAGGGCCGGGCCTAAGGGGGGTGTAGGGGGGGGAGTCACCCCCCCCAAAGTCTTCGCAGTTGGTTCCAAATCCAAAGTTCCAAATCCAAACACGGTTGGCAAAATCTATAGTATTTGGTTCGGTTGGTTGGGTATACCTACCCTACCAACCAACCCATCATCAAAATGAAATATAATTTTTAAACTATATTACAAAATTATAATTTTTAATCTATTGTAACTTCCTATAATCGTTACCGTGAAGAAAATTGTATTGGTCAACCATTTACGGTGGAAATTTGGTTAAAATTAAAATTGTTGCTGTTCCGGATAATCCATTTACATTGGCAGCAAGTCAAAAAAAATAGAGAACGAGAATCAATCCCATCGACTTCGAAAGAGCATGCTAAATTAGCATTGCTAATGTTAGGTAAAGACATTCTTTATCTACACTTTACAGCACTTTACATACATGATAAAACTACTGAAAATTTTTACTATTACTACTAAAGTATCGATAAAAAAATAAGTTGTTTTTTTTATCGTCTCCACCCCCCCAAAAAAGTGAGCCTCGGTACGGCCCTGACTACAATTGTAGAATTTAAATTCACAAACAGGGCCAGTTCTCGATATTTTGCTTCGCGTTAGAGATATCGAAAAAAGTTATTGGAAAAAGTTGTTCAGAATAATATTCTAACCCCATATACCAATTTTTATAACAAAATTCGCATTTTTAATTTTTTTTATTTTGGTCCACACAAAATTATTATTCAAGTTCATTTTTTAGTTTGATAATAAGGGAGCCATGGAAAGTAATAATTTGATACTAACTAGTGTTTATGACAGTTAAATAAATAATTAAAACAATTTTTGGAAATTACAAATCAATTTTAATTTATTAAATTAAGGAAATGGTATAAAACAATAATAAAACTAATAAAAATAAATAAATTAGAAATGCGAATTTTGCTATGAAAATCGGTATACGGGGTTAGAATAATATTCTGAACAACTTTTTCTAATAATTTTTTTCGATATTTCTAACGCGAAGCAAAATATTGACAACTGGCCCCGTTTGTGAATTCGTAGTAGGCCAAGTTTAAAGTTCAGATTTCAGTTGAGTATCTTAAAAAATGTGACCCACCAACATGTATGAATGTGAAAAAATTCAAATCTCTATTCCTTGAAATAGCGAAAATATGGGGGTGTCTTCATCTTAAATGCGACACACTGTATAAGAATATTTTTTATATATAAACTTTAAATTTCCTATATATAGAAACTTTTTAGTTCAGATAATGCCGCTTGAGAATGAGGGCGCTTTGTGGTATTCAACTAAAAAGCACTGTTGCCAGAGTGTGCCAATGCAAAGTTTTGGTCAGTGTTTCCAACATAACGTTTCGCCACAGAATAAAGAACAACCAGAAGCGACACTTGTATCTCCCGCCAAAACCAAATCTGCTCGTCGCCGCCATCTTCTTGGTGTTATATGTCATCGTGTTTTTATTAACCTCAAATTGTGTTTGTAAAGTTTATCTTAAGTATTTTTGATCGTTTTTTGTGGTTTTGCCAAGCAAGTGTATAATGGAAGAAAAAACCTCAATTAAAGGTGGAACTGTGTGTGCAGTGCCTGGATGTCATAATAATACTCTCAGAAAGACAATCTGTTTCTTTAGATTTCCAAAGGACCCGGAAAGGTATTTATTAACTTTAATTTTATGTATACTATTATAATAATAATATATTATAATATATAATATAATATAATATATATATTTAATTTTAATAAGGTTTTTATAGTTATACTTTTTCTTGTGGTTTTAATGTTTTATGTTATAACAAAAAAATTTGTTTACTTTAATAATATTAATAAAAAATAATAATAATAATAATAATAATAAAGTTGTGCATAGTTTAATATTTGTTTTTATAAATATTTAATTCTTCCCAATGTGGATAGTTTTAAATTTGCCGCTATGAGTAACACCAACAAAATGGCTGAAGGTTATCCAAATTGAACAATAAAACTTCAAAGGCGGCTTAAAAAGTGTCGCTTCTGGTTGTTCTTTATTCTGTGGTTTCGCCAGATCTGGCAGATATAAAGGTCGAGGGAAAAAAGATACTCTTACGGCTGACGGATTTTTTAACGGAACCTTGAACATAATATCGAATGGTATTTGTCATAAAATTTGTACCTATATACTTTAATTTGTAAGAGTCCAACTTTAAAAAAAAAATCTTTGTTTTTTTATAAATTGACAAGAGAAGCAAAACGTAAGAAATTTTAGTTTTTTTCAATACCTATTAGTAAAAACAAAGCCGTGTTTATTTAGAGAAATAGAGACGGCCAAAGAGAAATGTTTTCTTCAATAAAAATAGACCAACCGACCAATATATTACCTATAAGTATTTAAAAAAACTAAAATCCTATACTTTTTGCTATCATTTTGTTCCGCTAGATCTGGCCGAAGATCCGTTATGTTGGAAACACTGACCAAAACTTTGCATGGGCAACAGTGCTTTTTAGTTGAATACCACAAAGCGCCCTCATTCTCAAGCGGCATTATCTGAACTAAAAAGTTTCTATACATATATATATATATATATAGGAAATTTAAAGTTTATATATAAAAAATATTCTTATATTTATCAAAAATAATTTACGGACAAACGGCGCCTCATATTTTACGATTCACAATTTAAGTAAAGGATAATAATAAATTGTAATTAAAAAATCATCTATTTTTTATATTTTAAATAATCAATGACTAGCAACATCAGTCAATTATAAATACTATAAAAGTACAAATTATTTTACATTTGGCTTTATTGTGCTGATTTGATATGGTCTTTAAGTATGGCAAGAATTTTTACAAAAAAATACCCAAACATCCTATTAAATATTTACAATTTAAGATATAAGATATTTAACATATTTTATATAATTTTATAATTTAAAACTATTCCATAAAATCAGGTTTTAAATTGCATCTACTGTTTCCAGGTTATAATTTATAACCGATAAATGCAATTTAAAATCCTTACACCATTTATTAAATATTACCTAGTACTAAGTTTCCGCCATAAATTGTGTGCTCTAGACTTTTCATCAAATAAACTTCTCAATAAAACAACCTGAACGAACCCTACAAGACACATAACCCCAATTTGCACGAAAGAAAAGGTGTTAACCTTGAAAAAGTTCTCCTCAGCCACATTTCTGTCGCGAGCCTCACTGGATTTTATTAAATCCTGTAAATGTCTAACTTTCGTGACGTGGGTTTTAACTGTGTTCAACATTTCTTGTATGTCTTGCACAGTAATATCGTAAACATCTTCAGGTTGCAAGCCTTCGATTGTAGAATCAGGATAATCGTCTTCACCTTCGATTATGAACTCAAAGAATATCGCTTTGGAGTTATATCCACTGAAAGTGTTATCGAAGCAGAATTTGTAGTCTCCGTCCATAGAGGCGTCTGCACGGTGCGTGTTTTCTGATTTTTTGTAATCGGCTACCAGTATCCTTCCTGTTGGATCCACCAAATGAAAGGTTATGTCCAAATCGCCGTGCCCTCCGTCTATAACTTGATAGTCAACGTCTATAACGTCGCCTTTTTTGGCTCTTTGGAAAAAGCAATCTTCCTTCCCTGGATCCACATTGAAGGTTATTTCTTTCTCCAAACACAAAACTGTGGATATACAACACAGTAAAAAACACAAAATATCGCTTTGTTTTTGCTTCATTTTACATCAAAACACTCGGAATTTGACAGCTGACTCGTCATTTGACTTTTGAACTTTTGAAAATCTATTTGCAATGCTAATTTTGCATGGATAAAATGTTTAATGTGGGTTGCCTACAATAACGTCGGTATTTTTGACATTTCCCCAATCTCCATACAAGTATTTGAAAATCATACTACATGGCAGCACTACATATTGTGTGTTAAAATTGTTAACAAACTATTTTTTTCTAATATTCCAAGACTATTTGACAGTTGTAATTGATAGTAGGACAGTTTAATTTACATTTTGAACAGATCATAGACATTTTAGTTTACAATGTTGGTAGCTTTGACTTACTAACTTCACGTTTATTTTTCATAGAAGAAAAATTGGTCGAACTGAGTAGCTAACTTCATGTGTTTATTTTCATAATCGTAAAAAGTAGGGTTATAGTTGTTGTCAAAACACATGTTTCAGTTTTTAGTTTAGTTCAGTTAAATAAATAAACTACGACCAAATATAATATGGCAACTTTGAGAAAAAAGCGCGTTTCGAAGAAATTGAAGGTTTCTTGGAGGAAACATGTCAATATCGATGACGTAGAGGAGTTTTTGGAGGATAAGCGTTTGGAGGAACGTTTGGGGTAAAATTTTAGACTTGGTTATAAAATTGTTTGCATTAACGTTTGATTTTAGACCTATTGAATCAAAAAGTGATAATGAGTTGTTTAAGTTGGACACTCAAATCGAAACGAGGTTGTCTGCGAAAGAAAGGAAGAAATTAAAGGCTTTAAAGCCTCTAAAATGTTATCATGCTTTGGAACCGCACACCAAAGTTCCAGATCCTATAGCTAAAAGGTAAATATTTGTTTTATTTATTGTAATATCAAATAACTGATTTTATTCTCAATATTGTTAAAAATGTGAAAACTTTAAATTACATTGTAATAATTGTGGACAATTTTTTGCTGTACGATTTTTATAGTGAAAAAATTATTTACTAATTATTGCTGTTAAAAATGTAGAAACCGAGTAAGGACTAAAGAAGAGCGAAAAAACGAGTTGATTAAGAAAAAGGAGATCGCGAATAGAGAGAAAGGCATTTTAAAGGCAAAAGAAATACAATCAATGCAAGACAAAAAGTTGTACGAAATAAAAAAGCGGAATAAACCTAAAAAAGGCGATTTTAACACAGACATATGGTCGGAGGGTAGTAAATTTGAGATAGAAAACGATGAATGGGCGACAACTCTCACGAAAAAGCACAATTTAAAGGGGGTCGGTGCTCTACAAAAAACAACCGCTAAATCTTTGTCTAAAAAGAAAAGTTTGCACCCTTCTATTGAAGCTCCGCATCCGGGAATGTCGTATAACCCCAGTTACGAAGACCACCAAGATTTATTGAGAATGGTTGCTGATAAAGAGACCCAGTACATCAAGAAGGAGGAATATTTGACCCGGGTTACCAGGGGGATGTTTAACAAAGTCACTCCAGGCAAAAGAGATGTAAGTAATAGTTCTATTTGTCTATAAATATTATGTCATATTTATTTATTTACTTAACATCCAGATACAAGTGTACAGAAACTATAATTTCCACCTATTGGAGGTAATAAATTACCTGTACATAGGTCCAGTACATAACTTAAAACTAGGATCTTAAAACTAAAATAATATATAATATTTTCTTTATCATTAGGTCTACAGTTTATAATTCCAATATTTAATACTATTAAGTTAACAATTAATTGGTTTTTTGACATTTATTTAAACTTAAAAATAAATTTGTTTTTTGGGTTATTTACAACTTTGATGTTATTAGGTAACATGTTGAAGATTTTTATACCATTGTAGAGGCTAGTTTTTTTTACCAACTGCAAGCTTGACTTTTGGCACTACAATACTTTTAAACCTAGTTGTTTTATTACTATTTTTGTAGATAATGTACAAGTTATTAAAATTGATAAGTATGGTTTAAATAGTAATTTTGATAAATATCAAGATGTTCCAACAGTGATTTTGTGTTTAAAATAGACTTTAATTTTGCAAAAACAAATAGGAGATAAGTAAGATGCTTTGTAACCCATTTGATATGCTCCCGCCACTTCATTTGGGTATCATCCAAGATATTATGTACTTTTAATATTAACAGTGGCAGGATACATATCTATGTAATTAACAAAAGTTATTTATAACTTATAAACACTTATTTATAATGTAATTAACAAAAGTTATTTATAACTTATAAACACTTTTTTATCTATATTTAGAGATAGTTGATTGTCTTTAAGCCATTTTGAAATTCAAGTTAAAAAGTGATTTATTTTTTATTTTTATTATTTATTTAAAATTTATATATGCTGTTGTTTTAAAGATTTTAGTTTTTTTCTTATAAATATATAAAAAGGAGTAATCCATTAAAGTTTATTTTTATTTTTTTTATAAAAACCATAGTTTGTTAAAACTTTTTTTTACCTTTACTTAAAAATAAGAATATATGAATTTTTAATATTCGTTTTATAAAAATATGCAAAAAAGTACAGTAATTGGACATTTTATATAATAATTGGACACATGGACCATAGTTATTGGACATAGAATTTTTACATCAAATAACATAAATTGTTAAATATTTTTTAAAGATAAATTGTTTTTTAGATAATTTTTTTTTATTTCGTTTTTGTAAATATCATATTCATATATTTATTTCTCGGATTCCTAATCCCTTTTCTGGATTCTGAAGGTAACTACTAATTCCTTGGTCTGACTTCTGAAATAGTTTGTTGCAAATATCATTAAGAGTGGTATCTCTAGTTTGTGAAGCATTTATAATGTTTAGGCCGGAACAGGATGATTTTTTATATATCTAATATTTTTTCGGGTGGTATGTTAAAAGCATTTTCCGAATTTATTAATTTTGTTGCCATTAGTTTTTTATGTTCTCTATAGAGATAGATCTATCATGCACTGTATTTAAATCACTGTTATGCTGCAAGATGTGCTGTGGCGAAGAAATCACTATATTACTTACTCTCTAAAAATGAATTAGTCAAAAATGTCATGGCGAAAAAGCAGCAACTAATAATTCTCGTCAACAGCAATTTGTATCCATGACATTTAGCAGTCAATTCCTATGAAATATTATTCGCTGAATACGAAAATGTCGTCAAGTTATAAAAGTAGAACAGTTTTGAAATATAATCAATTTTACATATAATATGAAATTGACTATATCTCAAAAACTGCTTAACTTTATTGGTTTTTGACGGTCTTCTCGGATTCAGGGGACAATTTTACATAAGAATTGGCTGATAAATGTCCGGAATATAAATAGAGTATGATATTGGACATATGTCCAAATTTAAATTTTTTACCAACCAGTAATTGGACACTGGCCATTTTACTGTTTGTTTTCAGAATTAAAATTAAAACGCATTAAAGTGGCAATGTTTAGTGAAACACATATATACCACACAATGATCTGTACACTTTTTAGAAATATTTTTATTGTAATTTAAACACAGCTCTGGTCTTAATAAAAAAATAAAAATCTTACCACCAAAGTAACGTCCGAATTTTTTTGTCCTATATTGGACCCAAAATAAAGTAGTTCTATATTATTACCGACTGAGATATTTATAACATACATTAATTCCCTGACCAGTTTACCGCTCATAGGTAGCATTAGACTGTTCGCTGATGACGCGTTCCTTGTGTACTTCTCAGAATCCTATGATCTCTTAAAGATAGACATTGTGCAAGATTTAAAACTAATATCAAGCTGGCTTAAGTCTCATAAACTTACTTTAAATATACAAAAATCATCTTATATGTTTATAGGTAAAAGAAAACACTTGAATAATTAACCGCTAGGTATTGAAGGTGGTGTCCTCAATTACAGTTCTTGTGTAAAGTTTCTGGGTTTGAAAATTGATGAAACCCTATCATTTTTTAATCATGTTTAAAAAGTTCGACAAAATTGCTGGACCCATTGGAATTCTGCACAAACTTAACTACTGCATCCCAAACAAATATTTAAGATCTGTATATTTCTCACTAATTCACTCCCATCTTCAATACCTCACGGCAGTATGGTTTCCCACTTCTAATAATGTAATAACACCCCTTAAAACCCTTCAAAACAAGGCCATAAAAAACCTGTACTCATTGCCCACGAGATACAGTACCTCAGATTTGTATAAAAGTTTTAATATAATGCCAGTCGAAAATATTTATTACTTTCAGGCAACCGCCTTTATTTTTAATAATCTTAACAAAAAAAAACATTCCAATCTAACTCTTACAATACGAAATAACACACGCTCATGATACTCGTAACAACAATTTATTAGATTTGTATCCTTTTACCTCCAATTTTGGAAAATCGTCTATCTTGTATAAAGGAGCCGATAAATATAACGAACTTGTAAAAAAGTATGATTTATTGAATATAAATGAAATAAAAAAACACTTTAGGCCAAGCTAATTTATGTATTGTGTATATGTACAGAATGTATTTGTGTTTTAATAATTAATAGGTGACAATATTTTTATTGTATTTATACGTAAACTGATGTATATTTAATTAGAGTTCCCTCTGTAAACCGCATTGTGTTTTTTGGGTTAATAAATGTATTTTATTATTATTATTATAATTGTATACAGTATACAATAACTAACAGGTGTCCGATAACTGTCTATAGACTTTACCCAAAATATTTGTTTTCAGCAAATGTGGATGGTAGAAATGTCGGAAGGTCTCCCCGACAAAACTTCGGCGGAAGATAACGAAGCAAGCGATAACGAGTATTCGGCGGTGAATCCCCCGGTGAAGAATAAGAAGAAATCCGTGCAGCAAAGGAGAAAGCAAAAGGAGCAAAGAGAGCTCGAGTTGAAGAGGAGAGTGACGAAAATCGAGAAGAAAAAAATCGCCGACATTCACCAAGTGAAGATACTGAAGAAGCAGATAGACAGAAGTGACAAAAGACAGGCGGTAGTGAAGGAGAAGAGGATCAAGCGGGCTGCGCACAAGGCCTTGGAGCCTAACAGGTTGAGTTCCACCAAGTTTGAAGAGCAAGGTTTGGAGTTCAACCTGGGGGAAGACATTGCAGGTAGGGATGGGACAGTTGAAATTTTCAAATGAAAATTTCAAACTTGAAATATTTCATTTAGTTGGAAAAGTGAAATTTTTGAAAATTTCAAATGAAATTTTCAATCCGAAAATTTCAACATTGCCTGTGAAAGTTTCAGAAATTTCATTGAAAGTTTCGCAATTTACTGAAAATTTCGCATAAATTTCACATGCGGCCTCCCCTGGGACCTTTAATAATAATTTACAACAGATTCCGAATCGACCAATAAGAACGAGTTATCAAGCGTCTGGGCGTTTTTGTTTAGTTCGGCTTGGATTTGAATCCACTATAAGTAATTATTGTTACTTATATGCATAAATTAATTTAAATAATTTAATTCAGTTACCAATTTAATTTGTAAATTAAATCAGACTTTAAATTTTTTTTAAAAGTCATGATTAATTTAAACTTTTACTTTTGCTCTAATTGCATCGGAAAACGGATAAAAAATGCCTTTGCCTCATAAAATTTTGATGAAGTTTCTTAAATTTTTGTAAAATTTCAGTAAAATATATAAAAATAATAAATATAAAACAATGAAAGTGGCACAATCTCATTAGCTTACCAAAAAGTGCTATATCTCTCTTAGTTTTAGTAATTTTAAAAATATTTTAAAAGGAAATCTCAAGAAATTTATGGTAAACATAGGTATTTACTATTTATATTATTGGTGCAGGGGCCCACAGAGGGGTAGGAGGTAAGAGAGGCAATTTGCCATGGTCACTGAGTGGGCTTATTTCAATATTAATTTATTACACTAAAAGTGATTGAAATTTATTGAAAGTTTCAATAAATTTCATAAATTTCATGAAATTTCAGACATTTAGGAAATTTTAATAAATTTCATAAATGTCGTGAAAATTTCAAGTGAAATTTCAAGTACAAGCAAAAAGTGAAATTTTCCTACCCTAATTGCAGGCAACCTGAGGAACTTGAAGAAGGAGGGCAGTATTTTGGCCGACAGATTCAGGAATATGCAGAAACGTAACATATTGGAACCTTCGATTAAGAGACACCGTAAAAATGCCAAGATAAAAAGGTACACGAAACCAGGGCATAAAGACGACTGGAAAAAAACCGTGGCCAAATAAAATGTTAAGGGTGTTTAAAACTCCTAAATCCTAAAACTAACCTATAAAAAGTTTGACAGTTAAAATGTTAATATATTATGGATACCTACCTTTATTTTGTAAACACTACAAATAATTTAAAAAAGGGCAATAAAAAATTGTTTTTAAAAAGTCATTTATTTGTTTTATTTCTTGGATAATTCAATGGCTAGTCGCAAATTTTGAAAATTCTAAAGATCTAGAAAATTCTGAAAAATTTACAAAATCTCAAAATATTTTAAAATTTTCTGGATTTTCAAAACAATATTTTCTAAAATTTTAGGAACTAAACTAAAGTTATAAATGTAATTGTGGTTATGTTTAAATTATTGTACTCGTGAATGTTGTCCAATCACAAGCAGTAATTGTTATGTTTATGGGACTATTGAAAAAGTTTTTTGCGACAGTCGCCGGTCTCATCCAAAAAGATGAAAAAAGTCGCTATTAACTTACCCTCTAAAATGCACAATTTTCGAGATACACGGTGTTGAAATTTTAGAAAAAAAATCGATTTTTTCGAATATCTCCAGAACCGTTTATCGTACAAAAACAGCTTTTGTAAGCATTTTCTACTCATAATAAGCTATATTTTGTGCCAGAAAAAATTTTTTTTTACTCATAGTTGGTGGAGATTTTGAAGGGGTAGCGGGTGTTTTTCTCCTCAACTTCTACGCCCCTGAAAAAGTACATGTTTTCTATACAAAAAAGGTACTCTTGGTCATAAGCTCTAAACGGTTTTCGAGAAAAATCAACTTTTATGTTTAAAAACATGGTCAATTTTTTGAAATTTTTTTTTTAACAATTATACAAAATTTATTTTAACGTTAGAACAACTAACAAAACCAAACGATAATTGCAAAATAAAAAAAAATAAAGAATGATTCAAAAGTTGTCTTTGCAAAATTCTCCATACCGTAAAGGTAACGCATTTCGTACATTTCAATTTGTGTAAAAAATCATTTTTTATTTTTTTTTAAATTCTGCAATTATCGTTTGGTTTTGTGACTTGTTTTAACGTTAAAATAAATTTTGTTTAATTGGTAAAAAAACATAAAAGTCGATTTTTCTCGAAAACGGTCAACTTTAGAGCTTATGACCAAGAGTACCTTTTTTGTGTATAAAACATTGGCGGTTTGAATGGGCCTCTCAAAACCGTAGTTTTTTCAGGGGCGTAGGAGTTGAGAAGAAAAACACCCGCTACCCCTTCAAAATCTCCACCAATTATGAGTAAAAAAAATTTTTTTTCTGGCACAAAACATAGCTTATTATGAGTAAAAAATGCTTACAAAAGCTGTTTTTATACGATAAACGGTTCCGGAGATATTCGAAAAAAACGATTTTTTTTCTAAAATTTCAACACCCTGTATCTCGAAAATTGTGCATTTTAGAGGGTAAGTTAATAGCGACTTTTTTCATCTTTTTGGGTGAGCTATCACATCCTGAAGTCCTGCGCATATATTATGAAACACCCTGTATTACTCTTTCATTACTAAGTTACGACTGAAGTGGGGAGTTCCAAAAAGGTAACAAATATGACACTAGCTATAAACCCTGCTACTATTTGGAACGTAGCTGCTACGTTACTAGAACGTTTTAATATTGTTGCTAGAGCATTATTATTACTTTTATTTATTTGTTTTTACTTCTATATTCTTTGTCAAACTTATATTTATATATTTACTATCCCTCCTTTTTTAAATGGAACCACTACGGACTTGGCTTTTCAATGTCGTCGTTTATTAAACATGTACTGGTAGTTTATAACAATATAATGTTTAATTAGGCAGGTAATTTTATAAATTAAATTTTACTGTTGAACTTTTTTGTAAAATAAATGCGCTTCATCAATATTTAAGTATAAACAAATTATTTATTTAATAAAGTTTATAAATAAAAAAATCTTAAAATTTATTATTAATTTCTTATTTCATTATTAATACCGTCTATTACCAACAAAATTACTATTTATTAAAAAGTAAACAACCATTTACAAACAATTAAAATAATTTATTATTTACATTACCACGTGGTACTGTACAGTAAAAAATGGCCCATAAGAAGCATTTTCCTTTGAAGTAGTTTTCGCTACTTTAAAATTTTTCCACCTTAATTTACTTTACGGTAGTTTTGGTTAGTACCATAAACGTTCCAAATACTAAAATAATAACTTTTAAGTTATTAACTTTGTAGTTTTAACTCATGTTCCAGTTTCGAGATTTTAACTTGCAAAGGGACTACAAAGTAAAAATAATTATAATATAATATTTAGGTAGCAATCGAAAGTAACTGCTACAAATTAAATTTACTTGAAAGGTTTTTTACTTATAACACCTTTTTTAAAGTTGCAAAGTCTTCAACCAAGTTTTACTTAAATGTTTATTACTTTATAGTAACCATTTAAGGATAGAGTGGCATTGTTATCTTTATATTTTTTTATAAATACATTTAACTGTATATTTATCATTTATCACTATATGTATTTTTAATTTTCTTTATTAGTAGTATTCAGAAAAAATACTCATAGTTGTCTATCAATTAGTACTAATTAATTAGTCCTAATGAAACTAAAAAATAATAATACTCATTCATAGACTTTATTCCTTAAAAAACAAAATCTTGATCCTATACATATTAAATTCAATTGGCTTAGTGGCGACAATTTTATAACGGTTTAAATGATTAAAATTTTGTTTAAAATTTAATTATATTAAAAACTTTAAAAGTATCATCATGAACTTTTAAGACTAGTAGACATATAATAATGGTTTTGATTCTGTACAAATTAAGTATTAACGTCCAGTGGCTTGAACAAAATATCCATTCCTCATTGGTCCAATGATCCCAAGCAGCATTTTTGGTTCCAAAAACCAAAGTGGCAATTTTATACAACTTAAAATGATCAGGCAAAATAATCGATCCACACAAATTTTCGATGAATTTCAATCGCAAATAACTTTTTTATTTGATGTCGGATTTAAACAAATATTAAATAATATTGTAGATAAATTAATGTACAATCGCTCACATTTTAAAAAATTACTAAAAAATAGACGTATACGTCTATTTTTTAGTAATTTTACTATAGTTTTATAATATACAGGTTTAAACAAATAATATACAGGTTTAAACAAAAAGATATTTTTTACTATAAGTTTAAGACACTCTGTAGAGTCGCAAAACCGTATATTGTTCTAAATTAAGTTTTATTTATCAATTCACATCTATTCTTAACAGTTTTGTTTTTGGTTCACCTCGATATATTTATTTTTGTGGAAAATATAGATTTTTTAAAAAAACATTGCAATTTCCAATATTTTTCTCTATGAAGAACTAAGGTTGCTATGGTCCATCCATAGGCTATGGAGAATGACAGTGACAGTTTTGTTGAATCATCCCATACTTGGACATGTCATACACGGCTTTCAAAAGCTATCAAATTGTTTTTTGCAAATTAATGTTTAAATTTTGAGGTGTCTTCTTACTTTAAAAAATGGATATGTCTCCGACTGATGTTGCCAGAGACATTAATTTAATCCAGCATGCGCGGTCACAGTATTACGTGGCAAGTGTTTTAAAGTACAAAGGGCAACATTAGTCGGAGACATTTTTAAAAGTAAGAAGACACCTCAAAATTAACACATTAATTTACAAAAAACAATTTGATAGCTTTTGAAAGATGTATATGACATGTCCAAGTATATGGGATGATTCAACAAAACTGTCACTGTCATCCTCCATAGGCTATGGATGGACCATAGCAACCTTAGTTCTTTATACAGGAAAAATATTGAAAATTGCAATGTTTTTTAAAAAAAATCAATCAAGGTGAACCAAAAACAAAACTGTTTAAAATAGATGCGACTTGATAATTAAAACTTAATTTAGAACAACATACGGTTTTGCCACTCTACAGAGTGTCTGAAATTTATGGTAAAAAACATATTTTTGTTTAAACCTGTATATTATAAACGTACGTGTACTTTTTAATAATTTTTAAAATGTGAGCGATTGTCCATTAATGTATCTACAATATTCTTTAATATTTGTTTAAATCCGAAATCAAATAAAAAAGTTATATGCGATTGAAATTCATCAAAAAATTGTGTGGATCGATTATTATGCCTGTGAGTGTATTTATACAGAATTGTATGTAGAAAAATACTTTTTCCTTTTAAAATTAAAAATAGATAAACGTCTTGGAGATTTAAAGATTTAAAAAAATATAATTATATATTTTTTATTGATTTTTAATTTGGTCAACTTTAAGGGTTGTTAACAAAAAACAATGGCACACCAATTTGTTAAAAAATTACTGCTAAAATAAACGTCAAAAATGGCCCCCAATGTGGACCTCATTTAAATTGATATACTTATATCTTCATTCCATATATAAACACGTGATTTTACAAGTCATACCGTTAACTGAGTCATCAGTATTCCGTGGAATCTGGATACTTAAACTTTGGGAATAATAGTATATTATGTATCAAGATAAACGCCAATTTATACACGAATTTAATTTAGGTACGAGCAAGCTTGCGAGCGAGTGCTTAAATTAATGAGTGTATAGAAAAGTTTATAAACGAGGTGCATACTATACTTTTCTACGACAAATACTTATTATTATCTTAAAATGATTTAAATCAAAAATTTGTATAGAGCGCCATCTATGAAACAACAGGGGAAACTGTCAAATGTCACATTTTTACATTTTATAAACACAATTATAAAGGTTATAAATCGAAATGTATCTTGAAAATTCTCAGTTTTTTACAGTGAAAGTAAAGGAAATGTTTTATGAGGACTTTACAGTAGAGTCCGTGCCCGAATTTAAGTTATAGTTTACTGCCGGCGAAATTGAAAGGTCAGTACAATGTTCATATAAACTTTTCAAATATTGGCGTTGAGAAACTATTTAATATTTTTGTATTAAGATAATAAAATAATTTTCACATTTAGTATTATTTTACAAGAAAGGCACTTGATTTTAACGATTGTATGACATTTGACAACTGTCAACTAACTTCCCAAACAACCAGTTTACATTTTATGTACGTACATAGTACGTCGACCTTCGACGTACCTTACATTTTACGTACGCGTACTGCGATATCATATGTACATCGTAAGTACGTACTAAGTACGTCCAAATTCCACTCGATAATACGTTTTATTTATGAACATTTTCTAAGTATTTAGAAAGTAGTTTGTACATAAATAAATTTATTTATCGTACTTTTATTCCGTACACAAAAAAAAGCTTTAGTTATTAGCCCAATATTATTTGGTTGAATTGACTAAATATAATATTCAAACATTTTTTTTATATTTTTCAATAAACATGAAATTCCTTGACGCATTACTAGTATACTACGGTAGTATAACTACCAGTGGTATTATTCCAGAAAATTGAACCTACAGCTCTCTAGAAGAAATGTTTTAGTGCGTTTCACCTACTTGAAAAATTCTTCAAGTATTGACAGCTGTTTCCACCTATTTAAGGCCTGTTTAGTATCGAACAACTTGTAGTGTCACATCAAAGCAAAGGACTACCTGAGCTTATATACTCTTCATGTAAGTCAACAGAGGCGTGATTTAAGAACATCACGTGATCCACACCGACTTTGCCGCGATCGGTACCAGGAATACTTTAGAACATGCTTCTTTTTCTGATGACTAAATTCTTAGGTACCTACTACCCAGTGGCGGCTGGTGGATTTTAAGTATACCAATATCTCAGTTATTAGACATGGGACCCACACCAAATTTATAATAGTTTATATTGACATTAAATAAACAAGTTCGGCGCAAACAGAATTTAAATTGAAGTTTGCCAAAAAAAGTTAGTTTTTCCTGTCGCCTACCCTGCCTCCAGGCCCCCCTATTTGAGATAATTCAAATTAAAGTGGTGCAATTTATTACCTACTATAATTTATCGACAAATTTAAAATTTTATTTAAAAAATCCAAATATTACAGTTTTTATACCATTTTAAATATTTTTTTATTTTAATAAAATAAATAATAAAAATTTAAAATCGAATAAAATCTGTAATATTTGGATTTTTTTAATAAAATTTTAAATTTGTCGATAAATTATAGTAGATAATAAATTGCACCACTTTAATTTGAATTATCTCAAATAGGGGGGCCTGGAGGCAGGGTAGGCGACAGGAAAAACTAACTTTTTTTCGCAAACTTCAATTTAAATTATGTTTGCGCCGAACTTGTTTATTTAATGTCAATATAAACTATTATAAATTTGGTGTGGGTCCCATGTCTAATAACTGAGATATTGGTATACTTAAAATCCACCAGCCGCCACTGCTACTACCCAATTCAAATAAATTCAAATAAAAAGGCTTTTATCTTGGATTAATGATAAATATACACTGTTAGTTTGTATTATTTTTATTTCAAAATTGAACTCAGTTCCTTTTTGATTTTAATCTATCATTTGTTATTATTAGATAGGTATGTATAGTATACATTGTATACAAAATAAGAATTTGAAATTATTTATAGGATATCATAAGTTTTTTGTTCAAACTTTTGGTTAAGTATTTTGTACATACCTTCTTCGTACATACTATGTACGTACTGAGGACGACTGAACCTTACATTTTATGTACATAATATTTAGTACGTACTTAATACATATTTTTTTGGTCTTATAAGTATACGTATACGTAAATATAACCAAAAATGTACATTTTTAAAACGTACTGTGTTGTTTGGGTTAAAACTAACTTCAGCCCGTGACTAATAACCTGTTGTTAACTTCAGCCCGTGACTAAAGCGCCGTAAAGCCACAACCCAGTCAGCATCCAATTCAGAAAGATTTCAGTATGAAGTCTTTTAAACAACTTCGTTTAGAAGTTCTAACATGACGTCTTAAACAGCTTTTTTTATGAGCTCAGAATTCTGAGCTGTTAATGAACTCATAAATAAGAAGTCAATTTTTTTACGTACAAATAAAGATATTTTTTTGACCTCTTTTTATTTTGAGCTTACCGAGTATTTCTTTTTTCTTACTTCCAATTGAAATCATACTATTAACTCTTTTAGAAGTCAACATGGAGACGTCACATTTAAGACATTTTAATGCGATTACTTTCTTCTCACCGCTGTAACTGCTTGTGTTTGATATGAGAAGCGGCGAAGTAGAATTTAGAGCGTGCTCCATACCAAACGGTCTTAGACCTAGGTAAACGGCTACCCGATACTAACGAGCTCCAAAAGAGCGAAACAGGCCGTCTGTCGGTGCCGGTGAAGAGCACGCTTGAATTTAAACAAGAGTGAGAGTGAGTTCCTAAAATAAGCGAATACGAGCAAATTATTAAAATGATGTTAATAAAATCAATTTAACAAATTAATAAAATTAATAAAATAAACTTGACATGTCAAAATAAGCAACGATCCAGTATGCAATTTCTTCATCAGTACCCTAGTAGTACTTCTATATCCAAAACGGAAAATTCTAAAGAAGTATTTTTATAAGTTTATACAGTAGGACTCTTTAAAATGCTTAATTGCGAAGTCAAAGAAAAGGGTTCCTCAAGAGTTCTTTTTTGAGAAGTCTTGATTAGTTCAATAGGTGGCGCATTCGAAGTCTTAAGAACTTGTCAATGTGTATTTAAAAGGTCACTTAGTGTCATGGAAACATGTACGATAAAGGGCGTTTTAAAGGTGGGAGTAGAAAAAATTATTTAGGTACCTAAGTAGGTATTTATTAGCAAAATAATTTATTGAACTAAGATACAAAATTCAATACAGTTTAATTTCCCTGAAGAAATTCATCGAACAAATGCAAAGACAAGGAGTTGTCGATTTTATCTGCGGCAAACTTCTCCAAATCAGCCATGTACCCAGACAAAGTGCGAATGGTGTCAGCTTGCTTGTGCACGAATTTCTCCTCTATGTACGAGGAAATCTCCGGGTCGTGGTGCTGCTGCTTGTGCCGGATGGCCTTCTCGTGGATGCGCTGGGCCTCGGTGGCCAAACTCTTCTCGATGTCCAAGGCTTTAGCCACGGCTTTCACCTCGTGCAACTCGTACACGCCGCTCTTGGGAATCTGCGATTCGTCCGCCAGAAACTCCATCTTGCCTCCGCGGTGGTTGATGTACTTTATCAGGTCCAACGCGGTGTTCCACTTGGAGTCCGATAAAGTGCGGAAGAGTTTTTCGAAACCCGCGCGGCTTTTCTGGTAGCTCGCGTAGTGAGTTGACATCAAGAGGTACGCAAAGGAGGTCGAGATGTGGTCGTTGACGTATTTCTGCAGGTCCACTTCCAACGCTCTGATGCCTCCATAGATGGCATCGCATTTTTGGATTACTATAGGGGCTGAAAGTGGATAAAAATATCTTAATTAGTTTGTTTAAGTCAATTTTCTATAATTTTGTTTTCTAATTTGGAAACAGAAGATTTTAAATTTAACCATTTGCACAATATTATAACTACTAATTCCTTGGTAGGACTTCTAAAATAGTTTGTTGCAAATATCATTAAGTGTGGTATCTCTAGTTTGGGAAGCATTTATAATGTTTAGGCCGGAACAGGATGATTTATATAAACTACTCACAAAAATTAAGGGAATGAAAAAAAAATGCAAATTTTTCTTAGATTTTTGACGGGCTGTATTTCAGCGGAAAATGATCGTATCGCAGAAAAAAAAAATGCATTTTAAAGCTTCAAGACTCTAGTTTCCAGATCTTGAGGTCAAATTTTTTTAAGAATTACGGTTTTGACACGATCCGAAGAAATAGAGCAAAAAAAAATGTTTCCAAATTTTTGATCTTTTTTTTTTCGCTCTACGGGCACGGTAAAATATTTTCAAACAAAGCGACCTTATGGAACAGATACCTTGTTTATTCAGCTTCAATTTCATTTTTTATTCAGCTTGATACGACCAATTGTCGCGGAGATATCCGAGATTAAACAAAAAAGGGCGCTTATGTCTTTAACCGTCAATATCTCTGCAACCAATAATCGTACAGCAAAAAAAAGGACAGTTTTGGAAACTGGAAGAAATTTCCAAGAAAATTTCATTAAAAAGTTCCAGAAAATTTTTTTTATCGGTGTACGATACCAGTTGGAAAAAAGTTAAAAAAAGTGACTTTTTCCCTTATTTTGGTTAATCGACTGTATCTTAATAAATATCGACTGGGAAGCTAGACATTGCAGGAATTTTTACACCTCAATATACCCCTGAAAACCCTGTAAATTTTCAGATCGATCCATTGAGTAGTTTTTCTGCCCCGAGCATCCAAAATTTTGAAAAAATTAAAGGAATAAGATTTTTATCCATTATCGTGGCATAATAATTTTTTTTCGTTTTGCTCTCAATTTTGCATCAACTCATCAGTAAATTTAAATGAAAAAAATTATAAAAAAAAATTCGAAAATTTAAAGAAAAAAAATTCTTTTTCGAAAAAAAATTTATTTTTTTTTTTTATTTGGTTATTGTCACCTTTATCCCGTTGAATAAAAAATATGGGTTTTGTTTTCAAACGGTTTGTAACTTCTGTACTTTAATCATCTTTATTTTAATTTTATTAAATTATGTAATTAAAAGTCGATGTCCCTGAGATTCCGGCAATATTCGTGTAACGAATATTGAGGCACAAAACTCTTGAGTTTTATCTGCAAAGCTAATAAGTATTCCTAAAAATAGTTTTTCTTAAGACTACTCCGATTTTTTGTTAAAAAAAATCCAATTAACAGTTTTTTTCAAAACTACTGTTAATTTTTGCAATTTTGGTGAAAGAAATTTACTGAAGGTATTTGAAAACTTTGTTTTTTTTTTATTTTTGATTATGCCCAGGCGGCATTTATCTGCGACAGAAGTCGCTCAGTTAGTGATTCGATTCGACACACCCAGAAGTTACAAACCGTTTGAAAACAAAACCCATATTTTTTATTTAACGGGATAAAGATGACAACAACCAAATACAAAAAAAAATAATTTTTTTTTAATTTTTTCTTTAAATTTTCGAATTTTTTTTTTAAATTTTTTTTCATTTAAATTTACTGATGAGTCGATGCAAAATTAAGAGCAAAACGAAAAAAAATTATTATGCCACGATAATGGATAAAAATCTTATTCCTTTAATTTTTTCAAAATTTTGGATGCTCGGGGCAGAAAAACTACTCAATGGATCGATCTGAAAATTTACAGGCTTTTCAGGGGTATATTGAGGTGTAAAAATTCCTGCAATGTCTAGCTTCCCAGTCGATATTTATTAAGATACAGTCGATTAACCAAAATAAGGGAAAAAGTCACTTTTTTTAACTTTTTTCCAACCGGTATCGTACACCGATAAGATTTTTTTTCTGGAACTTTTTCATGAAATTTTCTTGGAAATTTCTTCCAGTTTCCAAAACTGTCCTTTTTTTGCTGTACGATTATTGGTTGCAGAGATATTGACGGTTAAAGACATAAGCGCCCTTTTTTGTTTAATCTCGGATATATCCGCGACAATTGGTCGTATCAAGCTGAATAAAAAATGAAATTGAACCTGAATAAACAAGCTATCTGTTCCATAAGGTTGTTTGAAAATATTTTTCCGTGCCCGTAGAGCGAAAAAAAAAAGATCAAAAATTTGGAAAAAAATTTTTTTGCTCTATTTCTTCGGATCGTGTCAAAACCGTAATTCTTAAAAAAAATTGACCTCAAGATGTGGAAACTAGAGTCTTGGAGCTTTAAAATGCATTTTTTTTTTCTGCGATACGATCATTTTCCGCTGAAATACAGCCCGTCAAAATCTAAAAAAAATTTGCATTTTTTTTTCATTCCCTTAATTTTTGTGAGTATATGTGTGTGTATATCTAATATTTTTTCGGGTGGCATGTTAAAAGTATTTTCCGAATTTATTAATTTTGTTGCCATTAGTTTTTTTATGTTTTTTATCAGTCAGGTTTCAGCACTTGACAAGGCATGACGCAATGAAGCAGCTAGAGGTCTTAAAACGTAAAAGTTTAAAACCAACAAATAATTTTTTAAAAGTGCAAACCAAATATAGCGAAACAAACAAACTAAAATAGTGTAACGGTCAATAAAGAGTGAAGAAAGAGTTAAGTGACAAGTTTCAGCTTCTGGTCCTATAGGAATTCCACCTGTCATTGGACGCTTTTCACTGGACTAACAAAAAAAGTCAAACAAGAGGGGATGTGGCCATCCGCAAAAAATTGATAAGTATCCTTAAGCATATGCATGACCTAACACATAATTTGCAAATTAAACACGACAGATATCTTTAAAACCCTAAGAAAGGCACACTGCTCAAACTCTAGAAAAAAAACAATAAACATCAGTAACAATAGAAACATTAGAAAGACAATACTAACCAAACACCATACATTGAGAAAAAAGACAAACAAAAAACAAAACTTCCCAATCGAACTATCGCGGTTATACACCAAAGCTGTGTAGGACAATAAATCTGTCAACAACAAATGCGTAAGGCATAAACCCAAACGAGACCAATAATAAACATTTGACACACAGAATATAAACTCAATAAATCATTAAAACACTAACATAGTAAAAACAGCACACTAAACAAACTCTATTGGATTTGTAAACACATTAGATTATAACAGAATAATTGCGCTTGTCATTTGTTTAACTAATAAATAAATGAAATACTTAATATTGGAATTTAAGAAGAAAAAAAAACTCTACCACAAAACGTGCTTGGGCAACACAATATTATGCACTGTATTTAAATCACTGTTATTCTGCAAGATGTCCTTACTCTCTAAAAATGAATTAGTCAAAAACAATTTGTATCCAGGACATTTAGCAGTTAATTCCTATGAAATATTATTGACTGAATCCGAAAATGTCGTCAAAAGTTATAAAAGTAGAACAGTTTTTGAAATATAATCAATTTTACATATAATATGGAATTGACTATATCTCAAAAACGGCTTAACTTTTATAGTTTTTAGCGGTTTTTTCGGATTCAGGGGACAATTTTACATGAGAATTGGCTGGTAAATGTCCGGGATACAAATAGAGTATGATATTGGATATATGTCCAATAATAGAAATTTACATTTTTTACCAACCAGTAATTGGACACTGGCCATTTTACTGTTTGTTTTCAGAATTAAAATTAAAACGCATTAAAGTGACAATGTTTAAACCATGAGGGACAAATTTATACCACAAACTGATCTGTAAACTTTTTAAAAATATTTTTTATTGTAATTTAAACACAGCCCTGCTCTTAACAAAAACACAAAAATCTTACCACCAAGGTAACGTGCGAACTTTTTTGTCCTATATTGGACGCAAAATAAAGTAGTTCTATATTATTACCGACTGAGATAGTTATATATAGCGTCATCTAACGATTTGACTTTAAGGTAACTATTTATAGAGCTCTTGTTTTTTGTATTTTATTTGATTAATAAAACATATAAAATAGTTCTTTTCAATAATAATATTTTCTTAAAATGTCAATATTGTGTTTTTACGTGTTCTCACGTGATCTTCAAATTATTCAATAATTTAATATTAAAATCGAATAATTTTTATAGAAATTTGGATAAATTTCGTAAGAGAATAATATTTATATTTAAAATATCATTTAAATACAAAGATGGCGGTAACTGGGTGGTACGCAATTTGAACCAAAATTCGTTCTACTAAAGAACATTCCTTGTTTTCTTGTAACATGCTACAAACCGTCAAAGTTGGTCCTAATTTTAATACATAGATCTCGGAAATTGAAGACAATGTCTTACCTTTTCCAGATGGTGGATTGCAGGCCCTTTCAATATCTTTTAAGCACGTCTCATCCGCTGCCACAGCGGCAAAAATTGCACAAACAACAATAAGAACTTTCATGATCGATCCCTAAAAAAAAATGACAATGATCTGGTGGTAAAATTAAATGAGCCAACCTGGTATCTCGCCAGCGAAATCGACAATGATAAATCAATCTCGAAATTTGGTTACTAGGCTGTGATTTTTATCGAAAAGATAAAACCTACATGACCACTTAGGAGTACAAAAGATACAATTTTAAAAGAAACAATGTAATAATTACTTACTTATGTAGATAGTGTCGTGCGCAAAAATATTGGACCTTCATCCCTAATTCGAACGAAAAAACATTTTAGTCATCTTCTATGCCAGTGTGTGTAAAGATCAGCAGAAAGAATCACGAACATGAAGTCAATTGTTTTGTTTTCCATTGTTTTAAGCGGCCTGCTTTTGTCCTCAAATGGTGACAGTTTGGAATGTAAGTCATATGATTTAAATAGAATTTTTTTTACAGTTTCTCTACCGAAATCAATGAGGCCTGTGTTTTTTCAAAAAAAGGCAAAAAAAAAATTGATGAAATTTGTTCATATTATTAACTTCAATGTCAAAATTGACTTAAAAAAAAAACAATAAAAAAAAATTGTGTGAATTTACTTATTTTTTTTTATTCTACTATCTCAGTCGGTAATAATATAGAACTACTTAATTTTGGGTCCAATATAGGACAAAAAAGTTCGCACGTTACTTTGGTGGTAAGATTTTTGTTTTTTGTTAAGAGCAGGGCTGTGTTTAAATTACAACAAAAAATATTTCTAAAAAGTGTACAGATCAGTTTGTGGTATAAATGTGTTCCTCATGGTTAAAACATTGTCACTTTAATGCGTTTTAATTTTAATTCTGAAAACAAACAGTAAAATGGCAGTGTCCAATTACTGGTTGGTAAAAAATGTAAATTTCTATTATTGGACATATGTCCAATATCATACTTTATTTGTATCCCAGACATTTACCAGCCAATTTGTATGTAAAATTGTCCCCTGAATCCGAAAAGATCGTCAAAAACTTGATTATATTTCAAAAACTGTTCTACTTTTATAACTTTTGTCGACATTTTCGGATTCAGCGAATAAATTTCATAGGAATTGACTGCTAAATGTCCTGCTGTTGACGAGAATTATTAGTGGCTGCTTTTTCGCTATGGCATTTTTGAATAATTCATTTTTAGTTACCTTCAGAATCCAGAAAAGGGATGAGGAATCCGAGAAAGAAATATATTAATTATATGATATTTACAAAAACGAAATAAAAAAAAAAATACCTAAAACACCAATTTATCTTTAAAAAATATTTAACAATTTATGTTATTTGATGTAAAGTTGTTATGTTTATGGGTCATTTTCAAGAAACACCCACTTTCAGGAAAATGAAGATCAAAATATTTTTTTGCTTAAATTGACTTTTGGTTGGATTTTTATAAATGTTTAGAGTTTTGTTTACTTACATCAGTGCACTTTTTAATTTTTTTACGTTTTTTTTAGAAAAATGTGTTTAGCTAGCTTTATATATCTCCACTGTGTTACCAATTTGAAATCCAAAATTTAATTCAATAAAAAAAGTTGTTATAAAAATAATTTGAAATAAAATGTACTTAGTTCACAAACTTTTGACTCCAATTTTTTATTTTATTTTTTATTAAAAATTGATGTTTTTTTTTTAAATATGTACTTATGTTCGTTAAGTTACTTTTTAAAAGAAACCATTCCGATTCTTTGTTAAAAAAACAATACCATTAATATTTTCTTTTAGTCACTGTATTAGTAAATTAAACTCCAATTTATAAACACGTATTACCAAGTGATAGTGTATAAAAATCATTTTAAGTATTTTTTTTAACAAAAACTAAAAAAAGTAACGAAATAGACATTGGTATCACAATGGACAGGGGTACACAAAGGACTTAATCAGATAACGTAAAAAAGAAACTATATAAGGTGGTACGATTTTAGAGTAATGCATAAACAAAATCCCTTGTAGTGGTGCTCACTTGCAGAATAACAACTTAGATTTCTAAATTGTAGACACCCTTTTTCTTTGACTATAAGCTGGTGAAGGTCCCTTTTAGTACTTTTATATTGCGTGGAATTTTTCCTTGGATGTAATCTATTCATGAGTTGTAATTACAAATAATTTTAAATTGGTTAATCATAAACTACTTTTAATAAAAGCGACGGTAAATATCCACTTTGTTGTCGAAAAATTATATTGCGTTACCCTAAATTCCATTGCGTTACCATAAGGTAACATAGTTGACTCGGTAACGCAGTGTACAAAGTTTTGTAAAACCATATTTAAAAAATAATAATAAGACATTATAGTCATTAATTACTCTCAATGAGCTTTAGTACCATAAAATAAACATAAACATGAAAAATAGTATTTTTCCTTACCTTATTTTTTTTTGAGACAAGCAATTATTACATTCGTGTTAACCGCACCTGTTTCAACCGATATCTTCTTCCTGATTGAATAAATAAATTCAGCTGGGTAATGTGTACGTCCGAACATCATTTGTTGATCACGTGAGTACCAAAAAAGTTGCCATATATATGTTTTTTTAATATTCTATCGGTAACGCGACGGACGTAACGCAACAGAAAAAATGTCTGGGACATGAGTCAAATTTAAAAAAAGTAGATTAAAATTAATTATTTTATATATAAATTGTTTACTGTATTAACTAAGGATGTTATGGATTGCTATAAAGCAACACAAAGTTCTGGTTATTCAATATTAAAAAAAAACATGTATGTAAGTTTTATAAAACGCTAATGGGACATGCGAAAATGTGTGTTTCACAAGTTTTTAAATCAATAAGATCCGATAATTTTTAACAAAGTTATTGGAATTCAAACTTACGGACAGCGGAAGGCGGGTGTTTTTTGAAAACGACCCTTGTATGTCCAATAACTATGGTTCATGTGTCTAATTACTATATAAAATGTACTATTACTTTTTTGCATGTTTTTATAAAACTTAGAAATAATTAGCTCGGTCGATTTGAGATGTAAAGGCATATTTATAATAAAACACACCAGACTTAATCATTATTTCTAAAGGTTCCCATTCGAAGCCCAGCATTCCAGAGGACTGGATTGACATGGCCCCCACTTGTACTGAAGTAATGAAAAAACACATCCAAGCAGAGTTGAACGCTTCGATGCAATATCTCGCAATGGCCGCTCATTTCTCGCAAGATTCGGTAAACCGACCAGGATTCGCGAAGATGTTCTTCCAATCAGCCAGCGAAGAAAGAGACCACGCCATCAAATTGATCTCCTATCTCATAATGAGAGGAGAGCTAACTCAGGACATCAGCCAAATGATTAAAAAGAACGTAAGTCAGCAGTGAATACGTAAATACAGATCTGGAGGTTGCGGAGGCCATTGGAACAATACAAAGACCAATTGTGGCCTCCATAATCTCCAGACTCCAGTATGTTGGATTTTCTGTGGGAAGGTTCAATTCCGATTGGTAAAATGAATGTTTTTTAGACGGTCGTGACGAAAACCGAATGGGCCAGTGGCGTGGAAGCGCTGAAACAAGCCCTCGTGATGGAAGCTAACGTCACCGCGGCAATCAGAAGAGTCATCAAGCAATGCGAAGACTCGGATGATAAGCACGATTCCGCGAAGAAATTCAACGATTATCACGTAAGATGTTGCGCACTCTTATCCGCTGTTACCACTTAATGGGCACATTTAACCGAAGTTACCTTACATTTTTTTAAATATTTTTTTAGTTGGTTGATTATCTTACCGCCGATTTTCTCGAAGAGCAATATCGCGGGCAAAAGGAAATCGCATCAAGAATTTCCAATCTGGAAAAACTCATGAACATGCATGGAGATCTTGGAGAGTTTCTTTTCGACAAAAAGTTACTTCAATAATAAAATAAAAAAATATAATTTTGCAGTTTGTACAATAAAATAAACTTTAAGGTCTTATTTATTGTATTTATATTTCCCTTCCAAAGAAATCTAAAGTGGGTCTAATTATGTTTTTGACTATGACGTCAAAGATGTAAATCGAATACACAATGGTAAATATTTATTAAATAATATGTTTGGCTTATTAAAAATACCTAGTTGAATTTAATAAATTATAATTTTGTGCTTTTGTCAATTGATTAATAAAATGAAACTAAAATTAGATTCAATAAGTGAAAAAAATACTGAGTTAGGTGTGAAGTTTTAGTTAAATTTTTCATCATAACTTCTTTAATTTCAAAAATCTAAAAATGCATTTTTGTAAAATTTGTGGAATGTTTTTGTTAAGATATTGTGCACAATAATCTTAGTTGTAAATTAATTACGACGTTCATAGAAATGTTCATTATAATATAAATTATTGTAATTTAAACTAAATATTTTCAAGTATGGATTTCTTGGAAGTTCTATGATAAAGTTCAATTGTGCACTTTGCACCACAGCATCCGTTTGCAACATTGTTGCCAGACTGTTTAATGAAAATATGTTGAAATTTTTCCTCACTTAATGCAACATTATACAACAATAGTTTATTGTCAACATATTGCAAATAAATATTGATTTTATTAAAGACGCAACTATTGTATTTAGATTATGCGAAATAGACAAAATTAGACTGACATTTCTAGCTCTAAAAATAAGTTTTACGTAATTTCGTATAAAATACTAGACGGTAGAAGAATGTACATATAAATTGTCCGATTTTTTACGAGGATTTTAAATTTTCTAATTAAAAAATTAAATTCATAAGATCAAAAAAGTTGCTTTAATTTTTTAGCGTTGGATGTTATTCAATTGTTTTTTTATTTACAAATTCACAATCCTGAGTAAAAACCACTCTAAAATGCATTTTTATTTTTTTCTGTAGCCTCAAGATTAAGGATTTTATAGCATATCGCATATTTGATATACAGGGTGTGTCAAAAAGACCCTTTTCAAAGTTGACGCTAGACTATCTAAAAATTCACAACCCTTGGTAAAAACTACACAAAATGCATTTAAATTTTTTTCTGGAGGTTAAATTACTGAATTTCGTATACAGGGGTATACACAAATACTATTTGTCAAAAGTATGTTTTAATTGTAAGGTAAATTTGTCCAATTTTTTACGATGATTTTAAATTTGTAAATTAAAAAAATAAATACTCAAAACAAAAAAGTTGCGTTTGTTTTTTAGCTTTAGGTGTTATTCAATTGTTTTTTTATTTATAAATTCACAATCCTGGGTAAAAAACACACTAAAATGAATTTTTATTTTTTTCTGTAGCCTAAAGATTAAGGATTTTATAGCATATCGCATATTTGATATACAGGGTATGTCGAAAAGACCCTTCTTAAAGTTGACGCTAACTATCTAAAAATTCACAACCCTTACTAAGAACTACACAAAAATGCATTTAAATTTTTTTCCTATGGTTAAAAATTAAGGTATTACTGAATTTCGTATACAGGTTTTTACAAAAATACTATTTATCAAAAGTATGTTTTAATTGTAAGGTAAATTTGTCCAGTTTTTTACGAGGATTTTAAATTTGTAAATTAAAAAAATAAATACTCAAAACAAAAAAGTTGCGTTTGTTTTTTAGCTTTAGGTGTTATTTAATTGTTTTTTTATTTACAAATTCACAATCCTGAGTAAAAACCACACTGAAATGAATTTTTATTTTTTTCTGTAGCCCAAAGATTAAGGATTTTATAGCATATCGCAATTTGATATACAGGGTATGTCAAAAAGACCCTTCTTTAAGGTGACGCTATAGCGTGGATTAATAAAAAAATATTAATTTTAGAAATAAAAAACTTTATTTATTGAAACAGCCTTTTTACATGGGTATACAATAATCTATCACATAGGATGAAATAACTGAAAAATAAATCTACAAGGAATAATTTAGAGTTTCTGAAGGTACTCGTCGAACAAGTACAACGACAAGGAACTGTCACGACCGTCCAACAGCTTGGTCAAATCGGCAACGTGGCCGGAAAGCGCGCGAATGTCATCGGCCTGCTTGTGAACGAACTTTTCCTCGATGAACGAGGAAATCTCCGGGTCGTGGAACTCGTTGCGCCTCCTGGCGGCCAGTCCGTGGATGTTGTGGGCCTCCACCGCCAAAGTTTTCTCGATATCCAGAGATTTAGCCAGCGATTGCAACTCGTACATCTCGTAGTCTTCGTTGGAGGAAATTTCCGAATCGATTTCCGGAAAACGCATCTGCCCGCCGCGCTTCGTGATGTACTTGATCAAATCGATCGCTGTATTCCACTTCGAGTCGGAAAAGCCGCGGAAAAGCTTCTCGAAACCCTCGCGACTTTTCTCGTAGTTGGCGTAGTGCGTCGACATCAAGAGGTATTCGAACGACCGCTCGATGTGGTCGTTCACGTATTTTTGTAGAGCGCTCTGCACGCCATCTATCGCGCCGTATTTGGCGTTACAGTTTATTGGGGTCGAGTCGGCTAAAACAACAAGTAAACATGAATTTGTGAAACGTGTTTTTATGTCAGAAAATAATTACTTAATACGTAAACACAGGGCCTGCAATCTGATATAGAATGGCTTGATACACTCAGAGAAATATCATGTCATGAAAAGCATATGAAATTATATTAATTTAAATAATCGGATAAATTTGATTTAAATAGAAAAATTTGTAGTTTTATATTCATTTACCAACAGTTTTACAATGTTTTTAAACATTTTTAAAGTGTACCCTCTTTAAAGTATATATAGTATATATATTATATACAAAAAAAATCTATTTATTTAATTGCCTTTCTCAATGTTGTTTCAAAAAGATGTGTATTATACAATTGTTATACACCTATTAATTTAATAGGGCACACCATTGACGCCAAAACATATTTGAATCCCTTTGAATTATTATCGTTTTGAATGATTCTACAACATTTTTTCTCTCAGTGTACCGTATTTTAATTTGAGTGTCAACGTGCGAACTAGATGGCGTACCATGCCAACTTCGTTAACCAATCACACTGTGATTATCACAGTAAAGCGTTCAACGTTTAAAAATATTTTGACGTTTAAAAGAGTTTTTACTAAAAACTCTTTTAAACGTCAAAATATTTTTAAACGTTGAACGCTTTACTGTGATAATCACAAACTTTTTAGGTTATAATCGCCACATGTAGTTTGAAGCAAATAACTTGTTTCTCTCTAGTGCTTGTGTATTTTTTTTGTTTGTTGTTTACTTCCAAAGTATCAATAAAATTCGTATTTTAATTGTTCTGGGACCTAATCTAGCAAATTTTGTGACTTAACCTAGCAAAACATCTGCGGTAAGTTGCAATTTATTATAAACCACTTTTATTTTTGACTGTTTTGTGTAACATAGTTTGTACAACATTTTGTAATGGACAAACCACTGTTATTTTTGTTTTGTGTTACATATGTATATAGAGTCATTCCAAATAAAAACACCAAATGGGGTGCGCTGCGTGATTTTTTATTTTGATGAAAAAATTTGAGGATGATCTTTTAGGTATCAAATATGAAAATCCGTTGCCGTTTTAATTTTTTGTTGCTTTACTTTTATTTGGCACCCCTTAGAAGTCTGAAATAGTGTCAATTTCTTACTCTCTTATAGTGGGCCAGAACAACAAAAAAATTAATATATCTTTTAAAGGAATAAAAATAACAAAACAAGACTAACTGGACTGAAAAGATGAAGGTGGGAACTACATTTCCTGAAAGTTTCAGATTTTTATTTTTTCCTCAACATAATGATTTCTGAGGGCAAAATTGGCTCATTTTGAGAATTATCAATTTTCAATAATTTTTTTAATAAAGAAATTGAAAGTCTAGAAACTTAAAATAATAGTTACGTTTTCTATTGTATAAGTACTTTATACCTGAAAAAAATGAACCTTCTAAATTCAGTAGAATAGGCACAGAGGCCAGACAAAAATCACAAAAATTGGCAAATTATCATGAATCTTTAGTGGTTTACCATTCTTTTATGAGATTAACTAATTGGATAATAATAATTTATATCGAAAACACACTTACTGGACAGTAAAACAAAATTTAAATCACAGAAAAAAAGTTCTGGCCCACTATAAGAGAGTAAGAAATTGACACTATTTTAGACTTCTAAGGGGTGCCAAATAAAAGTAAAGCAACAAAAAATTAAAACGGCAACGGATTTTCATATTTGACACCTAAAAGATCATCCTCAATTTTTTTCATTACAATAAAAAATCATGCAGCGCACTTTTAAATTCATTTTTGGTGTTTTCATTTGGATTGACTCAATACAAAAAACTTAAATGTCAAAAACTGCTTGGTTTCTTTTCTCTGTTTAAAATTATATAAGCGCTACTATTCTTACGTAGTCGTAGAGAAAATAATGTCTGAAACACGTTTGGAATAGCATATTCCACTCTCGTAAAACCGTCACACTCGCCTTCGGCTCGTGTGTCAAATTTTTCCTCGAGCGGAATATGCTGTATTCCAAACTTGTTACAGAATGTACTATTCTATGGCTAAAAGCAAATGTCACAAATGTCAAATAAATCTTTATGACATTTTAATTGTTTTATGTCTAATTTAAAATGTAAATGTATAGAAATCGAGTTTTTTAGGGAAAAGTTAAACGTTTTAAAAGAAAAATACTTTATTTAAAAATAAAATAAACATCAATGCACATTCGAATCAACCGTCAACTTTAGTGTCAACGTGCAAACTAGAGGGCGTTACACGGTTTCAGCTGACAGTATTGCAGATTGCTTTCCATGTTTTGGTTTGTGCGTAAAAAGATTATTCTAAAAATATAACATTTGAAGATGTTTTCCAAACTGTTTTTTACCCAAAATGCGGTATAAAACAAAAATGCAGGGTTGCCAGGTTAATTTAAACGAGTTTAATAGTATTAAAAGACAACATATTTTCAGTGGAAATTTCCCACCAGCTGATCATTGATTTATAAAAATATGACCTTGTATCAGAACAATACAATGTACTAAATAAGTAAGTACATTTTTAAGGGGTTTTATAATATTAATTATTATTAAAATATCGATAAAAACAATGTAGGTAGGTACTTAAGTGGTAACATATTATCAATAAGCAGACATCAGGACATCTGCATAAAAAAACTTAATTCCATAAAAATTTTAATGGAAACGTATTTTTAATAAACAACAATTTGTAAGCATATATAAATAATTAACACCTACACTAGAGTGATTAAAACGATTTTTTTATTTCCGATTAAAATATTGCTTTTTTTATTTTGATTGAGTAAAACTTGGCCCTATTTTAATGTATCTTATTAGTTCAAAGTATTTAAAGGCAAATTTAGTATGAAATTTATGTTTTTTTTTTATGTTAACTCGTAAACGGTTGACTTTAGAGAAAAAAAGTAAATAACTTTTTTGTAGGAAATTTGGTCTTCTACAAAAAATGTCTATAAATCAAATCTCTAAAATTAATATTTTAGGAGATATACGAACTTAAATTCAACTTAACTTAAAATTCACTCACCTTTATTCGACGTAGGATCGCAAGCCTTCTCTATTTCTTTGTAGCAATGTTCCGCAGAAGCGGCAGCAAGGAAAACGGTGAAAATTAAAAACGCCCTCATGATCCCTGCGAAAAATAACAACAAAGGTTTAATAAAAACACGATATTATTGTCAGAATGGCTGTTGAAACTGACCTGGTATCTCGCCAGCGTAATCACGAATAAGTTAGATCGTACAACACTGCTATTTTGTTCAATTGCGCCGTAACGGGCGACTGCGGCGTTGCCGAGTGTTTTCCCCGTCGAAAGATGTCGCATTCAGAAAAACCGCGGTCTAGGAAAGTTTCTTAGACGAGGTACAATTAAAAAGAATGTGCAAGTTGATTAAAAATATTTGTAAACAGTATTAATGACTTTATTATGTTTTTGTTGTTTTAACAGATCATGCAACGTTTTAGATTTCCGTGGAAACTGTGATAAGTCTTTGAATCTGGCAACAGCGGGCGACTTTGACCCTTGAGGGCTTGCGCGTTGTTGTTTTGCGCACGACGAAAACAAAGAAATCGCGTTGTCATGGCGGGGTGGGGGTGTTGTTTCCAGAATGTGCGGGGAGTACGCAGTACGCTAACAAAGTTAGTGCAGTGTGCAAATTTGTCAAAGATTAGTCGTTCATAGTTTTTTGATAGTCACCTTCTACACCAGTGAGTGTAAAGGCGACGTTTAGTAAGAATATACTGTTATTATTGTGATTATTTTCGAAGATGAAGTCCGTTGTTTTGGCAACAGTGTTTTTGACCTGTGTGGTTTTTGCTTCGGCACAGTTGCAATGTAAGTTAATGCGACTTAATACTTTGATGACAAAGCAATTTTTATTGTTTTTATTCACCGACTTTTTTTTATTTACAAATCATAAATTTCATTACACCTCCCTGGATACTGTTTGGTTTTTATTTTGACATGTACACAAAACCCCTTTTGTTCTTAAGGTGCACAAAAGAAACCAAACATACCCACCGACTGGATTGATATGGCGAGTCCTTGCGTTAAAAAAATGCGCGGTCAAATTCAAGAAGAACTTAAAGCTTCCATGCAATATCTTGCGATGGGCGCATATTTTTCCAGGGACACTGTAAACAGGCCAGGATTCGCCAAAATGTTTTTCCAATCTGCCAGTGAGGAAAGAGACCACGCTATCAAGTTGATTTCTTATCTTTTGATGAGAGGGGAATTGACAAGGGATATTAGTCATATGATCAAAAAAAATGTAAGTAATAGGTACAACAAATTTGTATACTTGTACACTTAAGTGTATAGGGTAAACCACATAGGTAGTTATTGGACACTTTTCTTATAAATATATAAAAAGGATAGTTTGTTTGCTTCAACTTTATTTACGTTTACTTAAAAATAGGAATATTTGAATTTTTAATACCTATTAGTTTTATAAAAACATGCAAACAAGTATAGTAATTGGACATATGGACCATAGTTATTGGACATACAATTTTTATATAAACATAACAACTTTACATCAAATAACATTGTTAAATATTTTTTAAAGATAAATTGCTGTTTTAGGTAATTTTTTTTTATTTCGTTTTTGTAAATATTTTTTCAGGTGGTATACATATATGTTAAAAGTATTTTCCGAATTTATTAAATTTGTTGCCATTACTTTTTTATGTTCTCTATCATGCAGTGTATTTAAATCACTGTTATTCTGCAAGATGTCCTGTGACAAAGAAATCACTATATATTACTTACTCTCTAAAAATGAATTAGTCAAAAATGTCATAGTAAAAAAGCAGCCACTAATAATTCTCGTCAACAGCAATTTGTATCCAGGATATTTAGCAGTCAATTCCTATGAAATATTATTCGCGGAATCCGAAAATGTCGTCAAAAGTTACAAAAGTAGAACAGTTTTTGAAATATAATCAATTTTACATATAATATGGAATTGACTATATCTCAAAAACTGCTTAACTTTCATAGTTTTTGACGGTCTTTTCGGATTTAGGGGACAATTTTACATATGAATTGGCTGGTAAATGTCCGGGATATAAATAGAGTATGATATTGGACATGTCCAATAATAGAAATTTACATTTTTTACCCACCAGTAATTGGACACTGGCCATTTTACTGTTTGTTTTCAGAATTAAAATTAAAACGCATTAAAGTGACGATGTTTAAACCATGCGAAACACATTTATACCACACACTGATCTGTAAACTTTTTAGAAATATTTTTTATTGTAATTTAAACAAAAAAATAAAAATCTTACCACCAAAGAAACGTGCGAACTTTTTTGTCCTATATTGGACCCAAAATAAAGTAGTTCTATATTATTACCGACTGAGATATTTATAATTGTATACAACGTCATCTAATGATTTAAGGTAACTATTTATAGAACTATTGTTTTTACAGTATTAATGTTAATAGTCCAATAACTATAAAGTGTCCGATAACTGTCTACTTTACCCTAGGAGTTTTTCCGATCTACATTTTTCATTACGAAGAAAAATGTCGTAATGTTTGTAAAAATAGAGATATTTGCAAAAAACCAAATGGCGCGGCACTAAAATAATTATTTTTCCAAATAACCTCAAAACTATAACAAAAACATAAAAAATGTATAGGACCTTTTTTGTAGACAATTTTCCGATCTATAGGTTTTGTAATGAACAAAAATGCCGTAACGTTAATAAAAAGCGAGATATTTGCAAAAAACAGTATGGCGCGGCACTAAAATAACTATATTTCCTAATAACTTTAAAACTATAACAAACACATGTATATGACCTTTTTTGTAGACAATTTTACGATCTAAAATTTTCATAATATACCAAAATGCCGTAATATTATTAAAAAGCGATATATTCGATATATATGCGCGGCACAAAATAATAATTTTTCTTTTAGCTTGTTGTGCCCAAGACTGAATGGGCAACTGGAGTGGAGGCTTTAAAAGACGCTCTAAACTTGGAAGCCACAGTTACAAAGAAAATCAGGGACGTCATTAAAACTTGTGAAGATCCAAAAGACTCGTCCAACTTTAACGATTATCACGTAAGTTTTTTTTAATGATTACCCGGAAGACCTTGCGCACTCTTACCCGTAGTTGGCACTCAGTGCGCACACTTACCCGATGTTACCTTACATTTAATTTTTAGTTGGTGGATTACCTTACTGGAGACTTCCTCGAGGAACAGTACCACGGTCAAAAAGAAATTGCCTCCAAAATTTCCAACTTGGACAAACTCATGGACAAACATGGAGCTTTGGGCGAGTTCTTGTTTGATAAGAAAATATCAGGAGGAGAATAGGTTGGAAATATATTTTTATAGATTCATTCCCATACTTTATAACTTTTGTGATACCTATTTGTTTTGAATATTTAGAATTTAGTATGATTTAAATAAAAACTGTTATTTAAACTATGACGCTTTTTTATTGTCTATTTATTTTTAATTAATAAATAGATTATTTACGAAAAAACTTACCTTATTTAAACATGGATTGGGAAAGTAACTAAATTGAAACACGTGATTTTCTTCATAAATTTTTTTATTACTTTAGATATTTTTACAATATTAATTAATTGCATCTTCCCTCAAAAGAGGTTTCTTCAGGAGTTTCATAATTTGCCTCCCCAAGATTGTCAGGCAGTGGAGTAAATAAGTTATCATTACTTAACAAATCATCATTACTCGCACTATTGTTACCATTTCTCAACAAAACACTATTCTGAAATAATACAAATTTATTAATGACCTCACAAACTCTAATTTCTTTTTTTGGCAACTTATCACAGAGAAAGAAATTGATGAAGTTTTTGTTTAATATGCGCAATAGCGAGTTGCATCTCGTCGTATAAAGTAAATTAATATTTTAAGACCTTCTCTACCAAAAGGCGGAAAAAAGTGCTGGTGTGAAAGTTATTATAAAAAAATATACGTTTGTTAAGTTTTAAACGGCTTTAAATTTAGAGTAAGTAATTAAGGTTATGTTTTCAAGTTTTTTAATAAATAATTCAATTATACAATTTCTTACTTTTCGAAGATTGTTATTTTCTCGTTAAAGCACAGATTAAACATCATTTTTAAATAAATAGGTAGTTTTTTCACAAAAGAGAGGAAGGCAGAAGTCTTACTCGACAAATTTTGTTCAATTGCGCAGCTAAATCGCGCACGTTATTTGTGTTTTACGTTGCAAGAAGAATGTTCATTGATTAAGAAACTCAACGCTTAAATGCTTATATAGTTACGTTAGTGTGTGTATTTTATCTCATGGTGAATTATTGTGTTTTTAATTGTAAATAAAATTCAAGAACTAAATCGTTGCATTTTCATGTTTTGCCAAAGGATCCAATTCGGTATACCTATACTTATAAGTACATTTATTGGTGCAGAATTAACTAATGATAACTTTACCTAACATAATTTATATTTAAGTTTAGACATTTTTAAGAAATTAGTAAAAAATAATTTTTGCACAAACATAACCTTATCGACCATTTTTATATTTGAGTTCTCTAAAAAACGCAGACAACTGCATTTTAAACAACAAAATATACCTACGAATTCATGGAAACATGGCATTTTAAGTGGAGACTTTCTTAATAAACGATTTTAATAATGCTAAATGATGTTTAAATTTAGACGACTTATTTGTTTGACGATTTTTACTGAATTGAAATGTTTACACTTTTCACGTTAATAAGTACTAAAATGTGTATTTATTGTATCTAATAGGTACAATTTATATTTACAGAGGCTGTATGCAATTTATTTCTTCATTCAGATTAACAGTGTTTATTGGAAAACCGGTAAAAACTCAACCCAGGATTTCCACAGGTGAAAGGGCAAATCTTGGCCTATGGCTCTCTGGGATTTAAGTATGTCCCAGTAAACACAATTACGTAAATATGACGTAAATATGACGTCATGTCAAGTCACGCTTACGTAAGATATAGGTCACACTTGAGTCATACAAGAGTCATTATTTCACACTTTCTTACGTCAGACTCTGACGTAATAAATATGACATAAATATGACGTAAATATCTTGATGTAACACTGACATCATACCATTACATAATATTTACGTAAAAAATGTGACATAAATATGACCTCCTTATTTTTCATCATGGGGCAAAATAAGAAAATACTGAAATCAGTTCCCTCTTGACGTAAAATGAGTAAAATTGTGGGTTCGCGGCTTTGGGCTTGCAAAGCAGGCACTATTTAAGCAGAGGGCAGTGTTACCAGATTCTGTCAAAAAAAGACCGTACGTTTCGTTCGAATTTACCTTAATTACAAAAATGACTCAATGGACAATATTAAATAACGTCAACTTGACATAATTGCATTGTTTCATTGTGTCATTTTGAAATTAAGGTAAATTTGAACGAAACGTACTATCGCTAACAAAAAAAACTCATACAGCTTAAAAATCTAGTGTTCCTGATTTTCTATCATTTCGTTGGAGTAATTATGGCTTTTCACATGATACGTCACATTTGAAAGGTCTAAAATTAAATACAAAGTTAGGTTGAAGTTTGAAAAAAAAATAATATTTCGTCATCCCTCTGTTTTTGTCAATTACTGCCCGCAAACTGCAAAGCATGGAAGTCGCCGTCTTGCTTTATCTCGTTCCAAATGGCTTCAATGGCTTGCCAGAGTTCGTCTGCATTGTTTGGTTGAAAATGTTAAAAAAGTCATAATGGATGTGACAAAGCTCGATGTCAACTTGACATTGACGGAAAAGTTTTATTCACACAGCCACAATATAGCTGTATGAGTTTTTTTTGTTAGCGATAGTACGGTCCTTTTTTGACAGAATCTGGTAACACTGGCAGAGGGCCACGGAAATTCTAGACGGAACAATCCTGGCTCCAACAAAGAATTCCACTGAAAAAGCTTAATTATCGTAGGGCACAATTCATGACTCCTAAAATCTCCCTAAATCTCAAATTGCAATGCAGCCAGTGTCAACTTATATACTTAACGAATAGTGCCACATAAGCGAGATGTATTATGCAATAAGGGTTGCCTATGATAAGTAGATTTCTACTATATTATAGTAGATGCCTACTTATCATAGGCAACCTTACTGCATATTGCAACTGTTAACAATTAATATATCAATGTTATTTGACAACTTTACCCTTATATATTATAATATTATTATAAAATTTGTTTATCAATGAAAAATTCTTTAAGAGTTTACATATATTTTTAAAAATCTCTTGGTTTCTTAATACTTAATATTCTCAGTGTACTTAAATAATTTCGTTTGTCAATTTCATTTCTTTTATTTATTATTTTTTAAATTTAAAAAATATACTAATACCAACAATATTGTGCAAATACCTATCTATTATTATAGGTATTAATGTATTAATATATAATTATACCATATTATATTATAATATAAAATTCTTTAAATTCGGTTGTAATATTTTTTATAGTTTTTATTTTTTGAACCTCTGTATTTGAAAATTGAAATTTTAGTATGTTAAACAAGGCATTAAATATATAGGTACTACCAGAGACAAGGGTACTCTGGGTAGTACTTTTTGACTTAAACCAATTTTAAAAAATTTCTAAAATGGCGTCGTACTGTCCAAAGGTCACATTTTTTTCAATGGGAATAGAATCATTACCGAAAAGATATTTATTGCAAGCTGATACTTTATCTAATTTATGAAGCTGATCCACAATGGATTTTGAACCAACTACTAATTTTTCAGATTCTTTACAGGGTATGTCAGAAGTAAGAACAAAAAAAAATCGGTTTTTATGAGTAGCTATAGTTACAGCCAGGGACAATATTTATTCAACATTTAAAAATTATTTTTATTTTAGAATTTTAAAATTTTAATAGGTAACATTTTTTGACATGCATGGATTAAAAAAAACAGCAGTAGCCAAGGTCACATTTAAAAAAATTTGAAGTGAGTGAAATATCATTTCAGGTCTTTTAAAGCGTAACTACTTATTTTTTCGATTGTACAGGGTGGAACAAAAAAATTCCACTTTCACCAAAAGCGTCATTTTCAAAAAATAATAACAGTAACATACAATACAAAAATAACACGTTAACACGTAATAACACGTAAATCTTTTGTTGATAATTTTTTACAATTTAAAAAATAAGTAGGTACTTGCAAGTACTTGCAACCATGATTATGGGATTATGGGATTATGGGATTTTTCACATGACCATTGAATAAAATGTGTACTTTTGAAAGTACGACGCTATTTTCAAAAATGTTTACGTCATAAAGCAGTAGGAACCGGAATCATAAAAATCTATATGATGTTTATTACATATTAAATTAAGATACATTATTTTTTGATTGATTTTAAACCATATTTTCATTTAATCGACCAAGTAGCCAAAAAATTCAAGGAACTTCGCGTTATTTCTTTCATCATGCTAGATGCAAAAGTAATTTCAAAATATGAAATTTGCTGTATTTTAATGTTTGAATTAAACTGATTGGTAAGGAAAAGTATCCACTGATTTTATTGTTTAAAATAATCGGCGTCAATTTCAATTAATAGAATTTACTTACGTTATTTTACTCAATGATTGGAATTAACCATTTCAATCAATAAAAAATAAAAATTATGTTTGCCTATTTCACTCATTGAAAATAAAAGTCCATTCATTGAAATTAGTTTAATTCAAACATTAAAATATAGTGAATTTTATACTTTGAAATTACTTTTGCATCTAGTTCGTCTAAATAATATGTATGACAGATTTCTTATGTCAGTCTTACCTTACAAAGTGACCTTAAACTTATGTAATGGTATGACAGATTTCTTACGTCAGTCTTACGTAAGAAAGTGACCTAAAACGTAAGTAATAGTATGACGTATTTCTTACGTCAGCCTTACGTAAGAAAGTGACCTTAAACTTAGGTAATATTATGACAGATTTATTACGTCAGTCTTACGTAAGACAGTGACCTAAAAGTTATGTAATATTATGACAGATTTCTTATGTCAGTCTTACGTAAGAAGAGTGACTTTAATATTACGTCACGATATGACTTTAATTACATCATATAAAAGTCACGTTTTGGGTCAGTATTATGTCACTATGACGTAAAAATTGTATTACCTAGATATGATCTACGTGTTACGTAAATTTTAGGTCATAAGTCACGGTTTGGTTCACATTTTAAACGTAAAATTTTAGAGATATGCTCCTTTTTGCCCATTATCAAATATTGACCCAAATATTTTGTTCTTACCCCGTCCTTGAGCTTTTCTAGTTTTTCCTTGGTTTTCCTTTCGAAAAACCCTAATTTTATCAAAATAACAACCAGTATCAGTAGTAATAAAATCCCAGTTATTACAGCCGCAACAACGTACCAAATCGAGATATCTTTAGCCTCCAATTTATCTAGAAAAACAGTAGATACTGTGTACTTGTTGGACCTGAAGAAAAAAATAAACGATTTTAATTTTTACAAAAATTGTTTAATAATTTTAAGTCTTACCTATTTCCTGTTTCTATAAATTCGCTATCAGATTCTGACGGTATTATTTTTGCCTCTCCATAAGATTCAAACAAAATTTGCTTCTTTGGTCCTCCAAGGGCATCTAAAACCAACAATTTCATTATTATTTTTCTTCCTGTTAATCCCTTAATAGTTTACCAAACAATGCGGATTGATTTAATTGCATGGTAAAATTAATTGATTCATCATGGACATTTTGGTCGAATGGTCCAACTATGCATTTTATTTTTCTACTAGCTTTAGCAATATTTAAGGGATACAAGGAACTTGAAACTTCAATATGTTTGCTGGAATTTAATTCTTTTAATTTGGTATTGCGATCCAGTTGAAGAACCTACAAATATTTTGTTGAATTGTAGAAAAAGATATGACGTAGGTTAATACGTAAAATTTTATATTTCATAAATATATTTTGTAGACAATTTTCTTATCTAAATTTTTTATAATTAACAAAAATGTTGAAATGTTAATGAGAAGCGAGATATTTGCAAAAAATGTGACGCGGCACTAAAATAAATATTTTTTTTAATAAATTTGATTCTAAGAATCTTCTAAGAAGATATGACCCGGAATAATGGAATATTCTTATAAGAATATTCCATTATTCCAATAAGGGAAGTTTCTATAGAAACTTCCCTTATTGCTAAGAATGTTCTTAGGGACTTTTAAAACATTCAATAGATACCCTTTTAATGATGCAATTAGATTCTTAGAAGCTTCTTAAAAAGCATTCTAAGAACATTTTAAGAATACGTTTTTGGAATGTTCTTAGAAGGTTTCTTATGGAGCTTCTGGGAAGCTTTTGAGAATATTTCCAAATATGTCAGATATCCATGTTCTAATATGTTGGATTCTACATTCGTAAAATTCTTCAGGAGGCGACAAATAGGCCTCACTGTCATAATATGACAGTGAAATGTATTTGTCGTCCCCTTAAAAAATTTTGCGACATATTAATATATATTTATTTAGAAATATTAAATAAACAATTTGACCTCTAATCCATAAGTTGTATGAGATTATTTCATAAAAAGTAAAATTGGAAAATTTTGTGGGATAAGTCAAATTAGATTGAAGTTGAAGATAGTTAGGATTATTATACATAAAAATGTTAATTCAGATATAAAAAATCGGTATACCAATTAATAAATATTTATTTTTAACATAAAATAAAATATAAAAAAACAAAATATTTTCTTATAAAATAATTCTTCATAAAAGAAAAAACCAAATAGTTCTTCATATTTAAGTTGGATAGAAGATTTTATGTAAAAGCCGGATAATTTAAATAATTATAGTAAAAGTAGTTTTGTTATCGAATATTGTTTTAATTTGACAAATAACTATAAAAAAATATTTTGGGTTGTGTTTTTTACTTGGTATTTAATACTAGGTACCTTTATAATTATACTACTTAAGTAGATTATGGTATATTTTACTATTATATATGTACCTAACTGAACTGAATATGCTTAACAGAATGTTCCAGGAATATTCCTAAATGAACTTTCTATAGCAATTACTTTCTCAAAATTCTAAGCATATGTTTAGAGTGGATTAATTTTTACCACTAAACTTTGCACCTTCTAAAAACCTGCCTATAGGCCAGTGAGAATATTCTTAGGATTATGCTATATTTTTTTAAGCATGTTCTTTAGAAGAAATATAGCATGATCCTAAGAATATTCCCACTGGAAGGTTTAAAAAACATTCTTAGAATAAACTGTGCTATCAGGGTTAAAACTATAACAAGTACATAAAAATGTATGAAACCTTTTTTGTAGACAATTTTCCGATCTACAATTTTCATAATACACAAAAATGTCGTTATGTTGATAAAAAGCGAGATATTCGCAAAAAACAAAAAAATATGTAGGTATGTGATATTTTATATTACTATTATTATTATTGCTTATACTTGCCTCCTTTTTTTTACTGAAACTATTTTCTTCATCAAGCAGATTTTTACATTTATTTGGTATTTGTATATCTATAAATTGTGTAAATGTTTTAGCGTCCTGTGAAATAGAAGATGGGAATGTAAGTGATACTTCAACTTCTCCTATGGGACTGCTACCTTCCTTGACAACCTAAAAAAAAAATTATAAAAACAATAAAAAAAATGTTGCTAACATAAGTACTCTGTATGTCTGTGTGAAATTCGTTGAACCTCTTTTGTTTAGTTTGTAGGCTCTCGAACGGCTAAAAAATCAAAAATAATTTGTATTATATTTTTTTAATTCAGATAAAAACCCGTCTAAATAAATATCCGCGTCTCTAACTATGTTCAGGGTAATTTCTTTTCTCTTTTCATTTTCATGTTTTGTTTTTAGGTCGACAGTTATTAAAAGGGGCCCGCTAAAAGATCCAGATATGGCTTCTTTTAAGTCCAAATCAAATTTCACCTAAAGAAAAAAAATAATATACAAACATTGGCTTAGTCAAAAAAATTTAATTATTTTCGAGCCTCATATCTCGAGAACTATTAAACCTACGAAAATTTTGTACGGGACCATTTTTATGCAGATTTATATTAGGAACAAATTTTACAATAAAAATTTTTACGTAAAAATATTAGTTTACAAGATAACCGATAATTTGTATAGATGCAAAATAAATACCTGTTTACTACTATTTCCAACTATGGGACGAATTAGGGAGCAATTGAAACCTTTCGTTTCATTTTTAATTAAATTACAAAACATGTCTTCTTTTTGAAGCTTCATCCTCCTTGGTAATTTTACCATTAATTCGTTGGAGTAAGCAAATTCGCCAGAATTTTGAATATCAACCTCAAGTGTTACAAAGGACTTTTTATTTGTACCAACGTTATAGGTATTGTTGTGTCTTAAACAGCAAAAAAATGGGTAATAAATTTTTTATATTTTACTATCCCTGTTGTAAATGACCGATTAATTAATTATAGAAACCAATTGAAGTATTGCCCTGATAGCACAGTTTATTCTAAGAATGTTTTTTTAAACCTTTCAGTGGGAATATTCTTAGGATCATGCTATATTTCTTCTAGTCATGTTCTAAGAATGTTTTTTTAAACCTTCCAGTGAGAATATTCTTAGGATCATGCTATATTTCTTCTAGTCATGTTCTAATTATGTTTTTTAAACCTTCCAGTGAGAATATTCTTAGGATCATGCTATATTTCTTCTAAAGAACATGCTTAAAAGAAATATAGCATAATCCTAAGAATATTCTCACTGGCCTTTAGGCAGGTTCTTAGAAGGTGCAAAGTTTAGTGGTAAAAATTAATCCACTCTAAACATATGCTTCGAATGTTGAGAAAGTAATTGCTATAGAAAGTTCATTTAGGAATATTCCTGGAACATTCTGTTAAGCATATTCAGTTCAGTTAGGTACCTATATAATAGTAAAATATACCATAATCTACGTATAAAGGTACCTATACTTAGTATTAAATACTAAGTAAAAAACACAACCCAAAATATTTTTTTATAGTTATTTGTTAAATTAAAACAATATTCGATAATTTTACTATAGGTATCTAAATTATCCGGCTTTTACATAAAATCTTCTATCCAACTTAAATACAACGAAAAATGTTTTTTTTATGAAGAACTATTTGGTTTTTTCTTTTATGAAGAATTATTTTATAAGGAAATATTTTGTTTTTTTATATTTTATTTTATGTTAAAAATAAATATTTATTTATTTCTGAATTAATATTTTTATGTATAATAATCCTAACTATCTTCAACTTCAATCTAATCTGACTTATCCCACAAAATTTTCCAATTTTACTTTTTATAAAATAATGTCATACAACTTATGGTTTAGAGGTCAAATTGTTTATTTAATATTTTTAAATAAATATATATTAATATGTCGCAAAATTTTTTAAGGGGACGACAAATACATTTCACTGTCATATTATGACAGTGAGGCGTATTTGTCGCCTCCTGAAGATTTTTACGAATGTAGAATCCAACATATTAGAACGTGGGTATCTGACATATTTGGAAACATTCTCAAAAGCTTCCTAAAAGCTCCATAAGAAACTTTCTAAGAACATTCCAAAAACGTATTCTTAAAATGTTTTTAGGAAGGTTTTAAGAAGCTTCTAAGAATCTAATTGCATCATTAAAAGGGTATCTATTGAATGTTTTAAAAGTCCCTAAGAACATTCTTAGCAATAAGGGAAGGTTCTAAGAATATTCCATTATTCCGGGTCATATCTTCTTAGAAGATTCTTAGAATCATATTTTGCTATCAGTCATGACTTCATTGGAACTTAACAATAGGAATGCAACTGGAATGAATTGGTGATTCATAGCGCCAAAACACATTTCAAACCAATTCAAACCAATTAGGTACTTATTTTTTATTGGATTGTATCGGTCATTTACAATAGGGATAGTGGATATATCTCTATAACTTACAAATCTAGCAGTCGAAGCTCCATCGTCAAATTCGATTGGCAAATATTGTCGTCCCCGCATTCTAGATTAAAATTTACGGGTATTGCTATTGGCCCGCTCGATCTCTTCTTGTCGATTATTGGACAACTCGGACAAAACAAATCGCCTCTAAAATTGTTTGTTGTCTCATTTTTAATGAAGGTTTTTTTCGATTTTTTCAGCTCTTTGTCGAGGAAAACGTACGTCAACTTTACGGGAATGGGTTCCTTGATTGTGTTGTCAATTTTAACGGTTATATTTTCGTTGTAAGTTGTTCCAACAATTACCGTAATGTTCTTAGTGGAGGGGGAAAAATTGGTTCTTTTCAAATGTGGGTCCATTTCTATGCTTCTCCTCAATACTAAAAATATTTTATTTAGTGATTTATTTATTTTATGAGTAATATTCTTCTTACTTATGTTTTCCATAGTTTGATTTGGGTTGTGTCTATTCTCAACAACGTATGTCACCTGTAAAATGAATTCGGTGGCATTTTTATTTAAATATGGCGGTATGGATACCAGAGATGTTGTCACAATCACAACGGGCCTTCCCCTCAAAATTACCGCGTGTCCCGATAAAAACGAGCCAATCGCCAAATCTGTGAAAGAAAGTGAAAGACTTGTCATTTTTTGACTGGGTACCTATAGAAAGTAATCACATCCTAGACTGCACCGCATATTCTAAGAATATTCTCTATATATATGGCTGAATCTTCTTTGAAGTCAGTACCCCCGATAGCACAGTTTATTCTAAGAATGTTTTTTAAACCTTCCAGTGGGAATATTCTTAGGATCATGCTATATTTCTTCTAGTCATGTTCTAAGAATGTTTTTTAAACCTTCCAGTGAGAATATTCTTAGGATCATGCTATATTTCTTCTAAAGAACATGCTTGAAAGAAATATAGCATAATCCTAAGAATATTCTCAGGTTTTTAGAAGGTGCAAAGTTTAGTGGTAAAAATTAATCCACTCTAAATATATGCTTAGAATGTTGAGAAAGTAATTGCTATAGAAAGTTCATTTAGTAATATTCCTGGAACATTCTGTTAAGCATATTCAGCTCAGTTAGGTACCTATATAATAGTAAAAATACCATAATCTACGTATAAAGGTATATATAGGTACTTAATATTAAATACTAAGTAAAAATTATAACCCAAAATATTTTTTTATAGTTATTTGTCTAATTAAAACAATATTCGATAACAAAAATACTTTTACTATAGGTATCTAAATTATCCGGCTTTTACATAAAATCTTCTATTCAACTTAAATACAATGAAAAATGTTTTTTTTATGAAGAACTATTTGGTTTTTTCTTTTATGAAGAATTATTTTATAAGGAAATATTTTGTTTTTTTATATTTTATTTTATGTTAAAAATAAATATTTATTAATTTGTATACCGATTTTTTATATCTGAATTAACATTTTTTTGTATAATAATCCTAACTATCTTCAACTTCAATCTAATCTGACTTATCCCACAAAATTTTCCAATTTTACTTTTTATGAAATAATGTCATACAACTTATGGTTCAGAGGTCAAATTGTTTATTTAATATTTTTAAATAAATATATATTAAAATGTCGCAATTTTTTTTAAGGGGACGACAAATACATTTCACTGTCATATTATGACAGTGAGGCGTATTTGTCGCCTCCTGAAGAATTTTACGAATGTAGAATCCAACATATTAGAACGTGGGTATCTGACATATTTGGAAATATTCTCAAAAGCTTCCTAGAAGCTCCATAAGAAACCTTCTAAGAACATTCCAAAAACGTATTCTTAAAATGTTCTTAGATTGCTTTTTAGGAAGGTTTTAAGAAGCTTCTAAGAATCTACTTGCATCATTAAAAGGGTATCTATTGAATGTTTTAAAAGTCCCTAAGAACATTCTTAGCAATAAGGGAAGGTTCTAAGAACATTCCATTATTCCGAGTCGTATCTTCTTAGAAGATTCTTAGAATCAAATTTTGCTATCTGGGTCGCCTCCTGAAGAATTTGACGAATGTAGAATCCAACATATTAGAACGTGGGTATCTGACATATTTGGAAATATTCTCAAAAGCTTCCTAGAAGCTCCATAAGAAACCTTCTAAGAACATTCCAAAAACGTATTCTTAAACTGTTCTTAGAATTCTTTTTGAGAAGGTTTTAAGAAGCTTCTAAGAATCTAATTGCATCATTAAAAGGTATCTATTGAATGTTTTAAAAGTCTCTAAGAACATTCTTAGCAATAAGGGAAGCTTCTAAGAATATTCCATTATTCCGGGTCATATCTTCTTAGAAGATTCTTAGAATCAAATTTTGATATCATTATTATTATTATTATTATTTAGGAATATTCCTGGAACATTCTGTTAAGCATATTCACTGAATATTATTCACTTCAGTTAGGTACTATTGCGGCCGATAAAAAGTAATCGATTCTTTATCAAGTTGCATGTTTTTCTTAAAAATTGGCTATTGTAAGTAGGGTTTTTTACGTCAGTCATGTCAATTAAATTATTTTGACAAGAAATCATAGGTGTATGACATATTTAATTTTTTAATAAAAAAAACTTAAATTATATAAAGCATGTTTATTCGTATTTGTATTCGTAATACAAATAAAAAGAACAAATTATTTATTGGGAGGCCAAAATAAATAAATTTAAACTTAAAAAGAAATAGTATACTACGACTATAACAATTATAATGATGAGCCAACCAGGGTTGGATGGACTCAGAAAAACCGGCCCTGGCAATTTTTTCATTTAGCCCTCCCTCGGGCATTATCTTACATAATCTTACACATTTGTAATGCTATAAAAACTCCATTTAAAAAAAATAATTAATACTTGGTAGAACCACCATTTTGTAATCTCCTAGGCATAGAACTAATTAAATTTTGCATATAGTAATTTTCTTCCAAATTGTTCCACTCATTTTGAGTTGCATTAATAAGGTCTTCTCTATCTTGGTCTTAATTCATATTTATATATATTTTTTACGAGATATCCCCAAATATTTTCGATTGGGTTTAAATCGGGGCTTCTTGACGCCCAAGGAAGCGTTGTAATGTGAGCGAGTTATCCTTAAAATAAAAAAAATATATTTTTTTGATCAGGAAAGATAAATCATAAAGTGTTACGTGTTGAAACACAAAATCATTATCAAATCTTTCTTGCACTGATACGTGGAAATTTTAAACGATGTAATGCTCCCGTCATGACGGGAGCATTACATCGTTTAAAATTTCCAGGTATCCGTTCCCAGTTAATCGGCCTTCTACAATATGAATTATACCAGCCCCTGAAGATGATATCCACGCCCACACGTGGACAGAAAATCTTCCGCTGTTGTCAGTTTTGTGGAGGTATTCTTCATCAAACTTATGGTTTCTGGGACGATAAACTCGCAGTTGCCCATTGTAGTAGGATTGAAATATTTTTTCATCTTAAAAGACTACTCGCTCCCAATATTCAGCGTTTTGATTTAAAAAATTATTTGCAAACTCCACTCTTGCCTCTTTATTGACATCCGTCAAGCGAGGCTTTTTAGCACTCACACAGTTAAATAAACCTTGTTCTCGCAACCGTTTTCTTGCCGTCCTAACAGATGCTGGGAAGTTGGTTTCCTCTTTGGCATGAATGGAGTTAGAAAATGGGTTTTGCCTCACATATTCAACCAACTCGTTGTCGTTTACTGGAGTTGTCTTTCTTGGACGCCCAGAACCCATTACCATACTCAGGTCACCAGTTTCCACCCACTTTTTGTTTAATTTTTGAATAGCGCTTTTGATGCAGTTTATTTCATCTGCTATTTGTTGTTGAGACCATCCTTCTCCAATTTTGGCGATAATATAGCCTTTCTCTGCTTCACTTAAAGTATGGTAAGGCATAATTAAATAATGACTTTACTTAATTTAAGATTTACTTAATTTAAGATGACGTTACTTAATTTTATAAAATTATTTTTGAAATGCCACTGGTGACAACCATATTTACAGCGGGAAAATTAGTCGATTACTTTTTATCGGCCGCAATAGTACCTATATAATAGTTAAAAATACCATAATCTACGTATAAAGGTACCTATACTTAAAATTAAGTTAAAAAACACAACCCAAAATATTTTTTATAGTTATTAATTAGTTTTAATAAGTTTAAAATTTTAAAATTTGAACATTGTGTATATAAAGTGACGAAGAATCCAATTATAAAATTTAGTCATCGTGAAAACAGTTAAAACGGCTTAAAATGGCTAAAATATGTAATAAATGCAATACAAGCATCGGCACCAGGTCGCAAAAAATAGACTGTGGTTTTTGCTTACGCTTGTTTCACGGCAAATGTGTTCAACTAACCGATACTCAAATAAAAAACATGGAAGGCTTCTATTGGAAGTGTATTGACTGCAAAAATAATGAAAATACAAGTACAGTATTAAATGGAAATATACCCGAGAATGAAAATCTCATTGATGTTATTAAGGAACTTAAAGAAAGCGTTTTAAGCTTAAAACAAGAAATTCAAGAGTTAAAAGCAGAAAAGAAAACTAATTTTAATATAGAAGATGTTATTAAAGAAATGGGTGAACGTGATAGTAGAAAAAATAATATTATTCTCTTTAACTTAAGTGAGGCTAATGGTAGTATTGAGGAAAAGAAAAAACTCGATATGGAAAGTGCAGTAAATGTTTTGAATAAAATATCTAACCTAGTGGATTTTTCAAACATTTCAACTTATAGGCTTGGAAAAAATACTACAAGCGACATAATAAGACCGCTTAAAATTAAACTTAAAAGTCATGATGATGCCATGACGATTATTAAAAACAAAAGAAAATTAAAAAGTCTTGAGGAAACAAAACATATCACCATTGCAGCAGATAACACACCTATGCAAAGAGACTACTTTAATAAAATAAAGGATTGAAGAAGGTGAATCAAATCTATTTATAAAATATTCCAATGGTATTCCTTTTATAGCAAAAAAGCAGGAAAATAAAACATCTTCTGGTTCAAAAAACTAAATTAAAAATAGCACACGTAAATGTTAGATCTCTGAATTCAAATTTTCTACTTTTTAAGCATGTGTTGATGGAACATGATTTTGATGTTTGTTGTTTAAGTGAAACATGGTTGACACCTGAACTATCCAGTGATAACTTTTACATTAATGGATATACTCTAGTTCGCGCTGACAGAATTACTCGAGGAGGCGGTGTAGGAATATACGTAAAAAATGGTTTGAACTATAAAATTTTTCATCAAAAAGAGTCCGGCAGTATGGAAGTAGAGCAGCTTTGGCTTATTCTAAACTATAAGCAGAACAAAATTGGACTTGGAGTTGTGTACCGTGCCCCTAAGGTGAACGTGAATGAACTTTGGACTGTTGGCGATGTTCTTGAAAATTTGTGTGTACAAGTGGATAGCTTGGTGCTAACAGGTGACTTAAATGTAAACTTTTTAAACAAAAATTCTAAGGAAACCAAATTAATTGAATCTCTAATTTCAAACTTCAATCTTCTTCAAATAGTAAACACTCCAACTAGAATTACAAGTAATACAGAGACTCTAATAGATATAATTTGTATAAGTAAAGAACTAGCTTTTAAAAATTGTGAAACCTTGGATATGTTTAATATAACGGATCATTTATGTGTGTTTGTAGAAATTGTAAAAGAAAAACCAACAGAAACAGTTGATACCTACTCTTACAGAGATTTTGCTAATATTAACTTTAATGATTTAGCCTTTGACGCAGTTAGAGCAAATTGGAATGCTATTAAATACGTAAATAATATAGATGAAAAAATAAATATTTTAAACTTAAATATTATGTCAATTTTTAATAAACACGCTCCAATTATTACAAAAAGATCTAATAAAAAATCGTTACCTTATATCACTTATAATATTAAACAAATGATAAAAACTAAAAATAAAGCTCTTAAAAGATATCAAAAAACAAAAATGTATTCGCACAAATTATTTTATATCGAAATACGTAATTATGTTAATTTAGCAATACGAAGAGAAAAAAAAGCTTACTTTGAGTTTATTGTAAGAAAAAATAAGAGTGATAGTGGTAAGATTTGGAAACAATTAAATAATATTGGAGTGGCAAATAAAATAGAACTTAAAATACCTGAAAGTCTTCAATGCCCTGATCAACTTAACAAATACTATACAGAGATTGCTGGTTCTACCACTGTTACTGAAAATACTTTAAATTTTTATAAAAATAATAAATTTCTTGACGGCATCTCATTTAGTTTTTGTGAAGTGGATAATGATACTATTTTTAAAATGATTAAAAGCATAAAATCTAATGCGTTGGGAGTGGATAATATTAATATAAAAATGCTCACATTATTATTGCCATATTGTATAGATGTTTTAAGACATATTGTAAACTATTCTTTTAGATATGGAGTTTTCCCGCACCAATGGAAGAGCGCTTTAATTTTACCATTTCCAAAAATTGCTAATCCTACTGTTTTTAAAGATTTAAGACCCATAAGCATATTACCCTGTTTATCTAAAGTTATAGAAAAAATTGCTTGTTTACAGTTGAAAACTTATGTAGAACAACACACAATCTTACCTAATATACAGTCTGGCTATCGTAAAAATCACAGCACAAATTCAGCGTTATTAAAGGTTGTTTCAGATTTAGGTAAATTTGTGGATAATGGTGACCTTGTTGTTTTAACCTTACTGGATCAAAGTAAAGCGTTTGATCTTGTAGACCATGAGCTTATGATATCCAAGCTTAAATATATCGGACTGGATTATGTTTCTTTAATGTGGTTTTCCCAGTATTTGGTTGGTAGAAAACAAAAAGTAAAAATTAATAATATTTTTTCCTCAGATTTGGAGGTTAAAAGCGGAGTTCCACAAGGAAGCGTATTAGGTCCGGTATTATTTTCGATTTTTACATTAGATATTGTAAATTGTTTTAAAAAATGTTCAATACATTTATATGCGGATGATTTACAAGTATATTTTAGCTGTAAGCAGGCAAATTTTGAGGAAGCTATAGAAAATATAAATGGAGAATTGAATACTTTTTCGACATGGTGCGGAGAAAATGGACTTAAAATCAATCCAAACAAGTCTGTGGCATTGTTGATTGGTAGGGAAAAAATGAGAAGAAATGTAGACATTGAACATTGTTTAAAAATAAATAATCAAAAAATAAATTGGGTAAATAATGCTAAAAATCTCGGGATAATAATTGATAGCGATCTTAATTTTGATGTTCATATTAACAATATATATAAATCTTCTTTTTTTAAACTTAAATCTTTAAATGAACTAAAGTATGTGCTTGACGAAAAAACAAAGTTAATGCTAGTTAAATCTCTTATTTATCCGAAAATTAACTATTGTAGTTCTGTTTATTACTTAAATTTAACTATGCATAACAGGCAAAAACTTCAACGCATTCAAAATGCTTGTATTAGATTTATATGCTGTATTAATTTTAGAGACCATATTACACCATCCTTAAATCGATTAAACGAAATGAATGTATTTCAAATGACAACATTTTTATTTTCATCTTTTTTGTATAAAATTGTAAAAACAAAACAACCTGTATATTTATTTGATTTATTAAAACTACGATGTTCAGTTCATACAGTAAACATTCGAACAAAAAATTATACCATACCTCAGCATACCACAAGCAAATTTAGAGGTTGTTTTGAATTTTGTGCTCCAACATTGTTAAACTTTATTTTTGAATATTTGCATTTATCAGAAAATCAATTTAGACAGAATTGTAAAATCAAAATTTTAAATGAAGCTATTAATTTGTAAATAAGGAATTGAAGGGGTTAGAATAGAAAGGGTATAAGTGCAATTTCTTTAATTTAGGAGATAAGTTCGTTTTGTGAAAGATAAGGTTCCGACGTATCGAAATGAAAAGGATTTAAGTAATTTTCATACTTCTAGCGACCTCTATTATCCAGTAGAAAAACATTACTAAACAAAATTCTTCACTTTTTTATGGTAACATAACTTTAACTTCAAATATCTCCAAACAATGAAAATGTTACTTATACCCTTTTTATTCTAACCCCTTCAATTGTTATTGTTTTTTGTTAACTTTTTTTTATTTTTATTTCTTTTGGTACTATAGCGTAGTCAATTATAATTATAATTATTTATTATGGGAGAGTGGAACTCTTTCCAATTGTGTATAAACTTTAGTACACAATAAATCTATATTATTATTATTATTATTATTATTATTATTATTATTATTTGTCAAATTAAAACATTATTCGATAACAAAAATACTTTTACTATAGGCATCTTTTACATAAAATCTTCTATCCAACTTAAATACAATGAAAAATGTTTTTTTTATGAAGAACTATTTGGTTTTTTTTCTTTTATGATGAATTATTTTATAAGGAAATATTTTGTTTTTTTATATTTTATTTTATGTTAAAAATAATTATTTATTAATTTTTATACCGATTTTTTATTTCTGAATTAACATTTTTATGTATATTAATCCTAACTATCTTCAACTTCAATCTAATCATATATTATATCAGGAGAACTATGAATTTAATCGGTTAAAAAACCACTGAGCCTATAGGCTCAGTGGTTTTTTGTTTGGTTTTTCTTGAAAAATGTTGAATGCAAAATAATTTAATAAAATCACGAGAGGTTTTATTTTTAATTATTTTGCATGAAACTATTTTCCAAAAAGAAAAATCAAATAAAAAACTTACTGAGCATAGTTTGACAGATTAAATTTATAGGTTGAGTGATATACGTCTAGATTATTTCTCGAATTAAAGGAAACTATTTGACAATTTATAAAATCTGACGTATGTGTCAAAATTTATAAATATTTTTTTAAAGAAAATTCCATTAATTTAAGGTAGGTATGTAATAAGTAATAATTGATATTTCGTAAACTAGATAACTTATTTTTTATTGTTTTTTAAAAAATGTTTGTTAAAACTTGTAAATAACACCATAAAATCGTAAACAAAAATCCAATATGGAGGCTAAAATTTAATCGCTGTTAAATAAACGAAATTTATTCGAAAATTCAAGGCTTTTGATTGGTTCATATTATAATGAGGGAAATAATCTGACTTATCCCACAAAATTTTCCAATTTTACTTTTTATGAAATGTCATACAACTTATGGTTTAGAGGTCAAATTGTTTATTTAATATTTTTATATAAATACATATTAATTTGTCGCAAAATTTTTTAAGGGGACGACAAATACATTTCACTGTCATATTATGACAGTGAGGCGTATTTGTCGCCTCCTGAAGAATTTTACGAATATAGAATCCAACAAATTAGAACGTGGGTATCTGACATATTTGGAAATATTCTCAAAAGCTTCCTAGAAGCTCCATAAGAAACCTTCTAAGAACATTCCAAAAACGTATTCTTAAAATGATCTTAGATTGCTTTTTAGGAAGGTTTTAAGAAGCTTCTAAGAATCTACTTGCATCATTAAAAGGGTATCTATTGAATGTTTTAAAAGTCCCTAAGAACATTCTTAGCAATAAGGGAAGGTTCTGAGAATATTCCATTATTCCGGGTCATATCTTCTTAGAAGATTCTTAAAATCAAATTTTGCTATCAGGGACTTGACTCATACCCAAACATCCCTATAAGTATACTTACCGCTCACATTTTTGTTGAAAACGTCGCATGGTTTCGAGAAACTAAAACCAAACCCTTGTAAGTTCTGATACACACTTTTTCCTTCAATGGCTTGAGCTGGCGACGGGTTCAAACCTTTCGCTGTACCATGGTAAATGTACACCACACCGTTATCTTGAAATGGGGCGGCAACAGCAACATCTAAATTTATTTGTGTTTGAATTATTTGTTTTACTTTTAAGACATTCAAATACCTCCAAAACCGTCTGCATCGATATCGTTTAAAAACATAACTGCCATTCCAAAATGCCCATTGGGATGGTTACGCATGATCACGTGGCCTTCGTTTGGAGTCTGCATTTTTCCCTTCAATTTTAATAAGAATTATTTATGGGTCTTTCCACAAGGAGAGAAAAGTATAATGCTGATTACAATAATTATAATACCCTTTACTATAATTTATATTACTATTTGGGACAACTATCTTCTATATTGCCAGATACTATGCAAATTTAGTAATTTTTAAATATTCATGTATGTTAAACCTTAATGTAAAATATTATTATTCTCAACCAATTTTGTGTTTAATTCTTATTATAAATAGATTTTTTCCATTACTAATAAGTATAGTAAATTTTAAAATATTATGTTGCCATTTTAAATATAAAATATTTTAAAATCGAATATTTTTATATGTTAACAATTAAAACATGTAACATAATTATTGTACTTTTTAATATACAAAAATGTTATGAGAAAGAATTGAACCTACACCTCGTTTTTTGTTTTGAGTGCGTTCCATCAACTTCAAATACCGACAGACAGGTGTTTTGACCTATATTGGGTATCATCAGTGTCGACACGACACTGTCGAGCAACTTGTAGTAGTGGAACACACCCAAAACAAAGAAATACTTGAGCTTATATAACATGGTTGGTAAGCCAACAGAGGCGAGATGTAAGAACATCACGTGATCCACACCGTCTAACGACGCGTCGCGACGTGGCCTTTGCCGCAATCGGTACATACTTGGTTGCATAACCAAGTAGGTTCAATTCTTTCTTATTAAGTATTACTGCAGTAATGGGTCAAGAAAGTTTATTAAAGAAACTAAGAAAATTGAATGTTTAAAATGTCATGAGTTACTGTATTGTATTTAAATATTTACCTTAAACATAAAAGTATCTTTATTTTTACTATATTTTTTATTAATGTGTAATATATTATAATATTATTAGTAAATATTACTATTTGTAGATACTAAAATCAATTTACTATACGAACATATTAAAAATTAAAATATATATTATACATTTATGATTTAGTAATATTGGTGTTGTAATCTTTACTAAAATTGTATAATAAAAAATAGGATTTTGTATTAATACAATTACAATCTTAATATTGTATTGACGAATATATAATATTGTAACCCTAAATATTTGTTAAAGTAAGTTTTACTATATACAGTGTGTCCCGCTTAAGACCCTACCACCCTCGTAAAATTTGCATTTTACAACCGATTTTCGTAATTTTTTTTTGATGGATAGATCTCTGAAAAAAGCTTTAATCGCATATGGCACTTGTTTTCACGACTAAACTCATGGCCAACTGTGATCTCTTTTTGGGGTCGAAATTTCGAAAAGTACTATTAGGGATTTTTTTAGAGCAAAAGTGATCAAGGATTATTATTCGGGACCACTTATAACCCCACTATACCAATTTTTATCGCTATTAGATACAGGGTGTTCCAGCTGGACATTTTTTAATTTTTTGATAAAACCCTCGTAAAATTTGCATTTTTTAACCGATTTTCTTTAATTTTTTTTGTTGGATAGTTCCCTGAAAAAAAGTTTACGAAAATCGGTTAAAAAATGCAAATTTTACAAGGGTTCCCAGCAAACCAGGCTGTTCCATTTACATAACCATGATATAACTAACGAAGAACATTGCCATATAAAATTGTTTACATAACATTTACATATTAGTTATTTATTTTGTTACATAATTATGATAAAACATAGTAATATAACATTTATATAAATATGTTCCCCTCTTGTTATATTTACATCTCCCTTATGTATCAGCCATATAACAATGTTATATATCTACAATGGAACAATGATACATCATTGATATATGGCAATGTTTTATAGTATCCATATAACCTTATTATATGGTATTTACATAGTTTTTCTTTATTTTGTTACATAATTATAATAAAAAATTTTAATATAATAGTTATATCAAAATGATCCCTTCTTGTTATATTTACATCCCTATTATGTCATGGCTATATAACAATGTTTTATACCTACATTGTAACAATGATATATAAATATATATTAATGTTTTATAGTATTTATATAGCCTTTTTATCTTACTAACGAACTCGTTTAAACGGTTGTGTCGAGTGCTCTCTATTGTGTTTTAAGTTAAGTTAAGTTTGATTCAATTTTTTTATAATAAAATGGAAGACAAAAATAGAAAAAAATATATTTCCCTATCACGGAGGCAAAAGCGGAGGAGAATTAATGCAGATCTCAAAATAATGGGCGTGGAGGTAAGAAATTGTATGGAAAATACCCAAGACAATGTGGAATATACTGAGGCTAAAACCGAAGTATTATCTTTCCCTAACCAGCCAATAAATAAACATATAATAAAAATATTTTTACAGAAAATTTGGGAGAATATTCAGGAGGTCATAGGAAAAATTCCCATACTTTTGTGGAAGATTTGCAAGATTTGTCTAATAGATACTTACCTAGTCAACTTTTTATTAATACACTGTTAAAAGTTTTGAGAAAACATTATTGCAAAAAGAAGTAGAGGCTGAATTTGTAAGTATATAAAGGGCGATTTTAAACCTGTTTAATAATAATAATTTTAAAAACAAATTAACATATGTTAATTTGTTTTTAAAACAGGGTGCTAAAAAACAAGCGACAAATTATAATTTAATGATATTTGGTAGCCAAAATATATTTTGGCTACCAAATATCATTAAATTATAATTTGTCGCTTGTTTTTTAGCACCCTGTTTTATAAGAGTTTAATTTCTATATTTTTTTTTAACTTTATACTGTTTTTTCAACTGGTACTTAAAAATACAATAATTTAGCTAAATAACCAAGATGGATACACTTTTTTATTATAATTGTTGTGACAATAAATTTTATGCAAATTCCATATTTTTAATTATTTTTATATCTCTTAAGGTTGCAGGGTGCATTTGACTTGAATAAGTAAAATCAAACAAATTATTATTTAAATAATAATAAATACAATTGTACCAAATATCATTTACATAACTACATAAAGAATAGTTGTTCTTTGTTTTAAAAACAAATCAATAAACAAAAATAATATTAAATTGTATTTTTTTCAGTTTCAGTATATAACAAAAATTGGGGGCGTCTCAGAGAAAGATGCCACAGTAAGAGTTTTAAAGAAAATCTTTTCAAATAATTTGGCAAAAGATTGCTCTTGGCTGGGGCTAAGAAACAACAAAAAAATTCAAAATTTAAAATCTGTTGAAATATTGAAGGGTAAAAATGTAAATTTTATGGGATTTTTTATTAAATAAATTTTTTTAAGCTGCTGTGTGCACTTCGACAGACAAAAATTTTGAAGGCATAGTTTCCGAATGGTTCCGGCAGGCCAAAGAAAGATTTGGTATACCCTATAGGGAAGCAAAAAACCTATGAAAAGAAGGTATATTAATATTAAACTCATGGGATTGCTTTATCTTTTTTACCATATATTTTTTAGCTTTGAAGTATTACTGTATTTGGGATTTTTTATTTGTTTGGAAAAACTTTTCGTTTGTTTTAAGAAGTTAGAAAGAAGAAATGATTTGTTTTTTTTTAATTAAAATAATTTTTAATAAACATTTAAACCAATTTGTTTTTTTTTTAATCTCTTTCAGAATCATTTATTTTTGTAATGTTTACTTATTATTTATGTAATATTTATTTATAATTTATTTAATATATTATCTAACTGGCATTAACAAGTTCTAATTTGGTATTATGGCAATTTTAAAATTTTGTTGATTTTTATTCAAAAAATTTGCCATAATACCAAGTTAGGGCTAAGTAATTTTTAATACCAGTAAGATAATATATTACATGAAATTATATTTATAAATATTTCATAAATAATATGTAAATATTGCAAATAGAATATAATTGTTTTATCACGTTTACATAACTATGGTATGGCGCTGTAACATTACAGTTACATATCTATGATAAAACACTGTTACATCACAGATACATACCCAGGAAGGGGTCTTGAGGCGGACATAGGAGCATCGCCATTACATATAGGTGACATAGCTGTTGCATAACTGATATGGCGCTGTAACATTACAGTTACATAACTATGATAAAACACTGTTACATCACAGTTACATACCCAGGAAGGCGTCTTGAGGCGGACATAGGAGCATTGCCATTACATATAGGTGACATAGCTGTTGCATAGTAAGGAACAATTTTTATGTAAATGTTATATCACTGTGACATGATTTGGTTTGCTGGGTTTAATCAAAAAATTAAAACATCCAGCTGGAACACCCGGGTGTACAGGCCTGTATCTAATAGTGATAAAAATTGGTATCGTGGGGTTATAAGTGGTCCCGAATAAGAATCCGTGGTCCAAATCAGAGACAGTGACAGTAGTTGTTGATTATTTGTCAATTTTTTGTTCCCATGGCATGCTTTGCTTAATTAATAGAATTTATAGTGCATAAGGAGATGGTTAAATGATAATTTTCCCATTCGGATTTTAATTAATAATATATTACAATGCGAGACGAGAAGTGTTTCATTACGTGTCTAAACTAAAAATATATCACAGTTGGCCATCAGTTTAGTCGCCAAAAATATGTATATTTAAAGTCTTTTTCAGGGAACTATCCAACAAAAAAAATAAAGAAAATCGGTTGAAAAATGCAAATTTTACGAGGGTTTTATCAAAAAATTAAAACATGTCCAGCTGGAACACCCTGTATCTAATAGCGATAAAAATTGGTATAGTGGGGTTTTAAGTGGCTCCGAATAAGCCTTTTTTAACAAAAAAAGTTTGATAAAAACAGTTGAAAAATGCAAATTTTACAAGGGTTTTATCAAAAAATTAAAAAATGTCCATCGGAACACCGTGTATTTAAGAGCGATAAAAATTGGTATAGTGGGGTTATAAGTGGTCCCGAATAATAATCCGTGGTCACTTTTGCTCTGAAAAAATCCCTAATAGTACTTTTAAAAATTTCGACCCCAAAAAGAGATCACAGTTGACCATGAGTTTAGTCATCAAAACAAGTGACATATGCGATTAACGCCTTTTTCAGAGATCTATCCATCAAAAAAAATTACGAAAATCGGTTAAAAATTGCACATTTTACGAGGGTGGTAAGGTCTTAAGCGGGACACACTGTATATATTTTTTTTACTATCTAAAATTTACTATACATACAAAGGGGTTAGTTTCCCTACCGAAATCACTGTGGATTTTATTTTGGAACTTACCGTTTTGCTGCCCAAATAAACGTAAACGGCTCCTTCATTAAACGACTTGCTTTTGTAGAAAGGAGCACCTACGACAATGTCGTCCAAATGGTCGGCGTCTATGTCTCCAGTGGCAAGGCAGTACCCGAACCCCACGCCCACTTTATCACTTTTTATTTCCTCTATTTTCCTACTAAATTTCCTCATATCGCCGTTTGTATGTGGCTTGTTGAATATCGTTACTTCTCCAGCAAAGGGAGACGACTTTATAAAGTTGGTACGTTTTTCGTTGTAAAAATTTCCGGACGAAACTGAATATCCATATAAATTGCTTTTTTTGTTGATGTGATTTACTGATTTCTTACTGGATATGTTGTAATTTAAAGACGATCCACTGAGGTAATACCCTGGACTTCCCATTATTAATGTATCAGGTTCATTCTTTAAAAAAATGCAGTACAATAATTATTTTTCTTAATAACTTTAAAACTATAACAAATACATAAAAAATGTAAATAACTTTTTTGTAGACAATTTTTCGATCTATAATTTTTATTCTAAACAAAATGTCGTTATGTTACTAAAAAGCGAGATATTTGCAAAAAACATTATGGCGCGGCACTACAATAAGTATTTTTTTTAAACCTGAATACAAAAGTAAAAATTACAAGAGAAACTTTACCTTTAAAAAATGAACAGAAAACCCTACTTGGGCCAGTCCATGTGAATAATTTTCGTTATCAGTAGTCGCCTCTACAAAATAAGAACAATAAAAAAATATTTTGCTGATTTCTTAAAAAAAAATATTCTCTTACTATCGAAAAAAGGATCTAAAAAAGTTGTTTTGTCGTTTGTTAAGTTGGTTAAGAACAAAAATCCTTTTGGCCAATTATACCCTGGTTCGCCAAGAAAGGCGTTTTGCGCGCTGGTCTAAAAATGTTAAAAATAATAAGTAACTCACTAGGTGAACCGAAATATGTACTCACAACTAGTAAATTATTATTACTATTAATATCGACGCTGCTTCCAATAAAACCTTTGTAAAATGAAATCCGACCAAAATCTAAAGTAAGATCATGTGTTATAATAATTAAGTAATACTTAATGGTAATTAAATAATTACTAGAGTTCTTGAAATCCAAAAGCGAACAGCCTACTTTAAAATTGCATTTATACATTGCTCCCCCACTCCACCTCGGGATAGTTTGCTTAGGGGCTCCAATAAAAATGCTAAAATATCGTTAGCAAAAAGTACCTCTGAGTCAAGCCACGTCAAGTGGGACCAGAAAATTTCACGAAATCACCGATTTTGAAAATAATCACATTATTGTGTAGTAGGCATGACTCATATGTCATATGTTTTTTTGGTAATGTTATTAAGGTTAACAATTTTGTCAAACGGTAAAATTGAAAAAATAGAATCTCTGGGACCACTCTGTATAAATGAATTAAATTTTACACACTATTGTAGCAATGTTTAGACTATAGAATGATCATTTAATTATAGTCAATTTGTTTAAATAAAACAATTTTGCATACATTTATTATGAACAATTGAAATTTTGTATGTGTTCTTCACGCTGAAAAAAAATTAAACTTGTGTCATAATACGCCGCAAACGTTCCCGTTTAATAAAATGTACTCAAAAATTTGTCCTTCATATGTCATTCCAGAGATATTAATTTTTTTGTCCCGCTGTGCGCTTGATCAGTACGCAGCGCGCTTCGCTTCTAGCTCGTCAGCATGCGGTGTGCCTGAACGAGGTTTAAGTCACATAAAAATGCTGCCAAACACTGACTGCAGTTTCTTGTTCGGGACCTTTTGGTGACTTAAAAATTATATTTACCAAAATCCTAGCTGCTCCTCTTTTCGAAATTTTTTGAAAATTCATGATTTTTTTGAAATTTTTAAAGATAAATATTTTTTGTGGATTATCCTTTTTACTATATATAGTAAAAAGCATAATCCACAAAAAATATTTATCTTCAAAAATTTTTATATATAAAAACGTGATTTTTGGCTAATCCTAATGATGTGCTCAGTATAAAAACAGTATTCTCTAAGTCTCGTTAACAATATACTCCAATAAAAATCGGTGTACAAATGTGTACTCTGCAAATTTTAAAAAAGGAGTTAGAATTTTGGTAAAACAATATGCTCTAAACGTTATTTTATTTAATTTTATTAAAAATCTATTTTTCTTGTAAAAGGTTAATAGAATGCCATTTTGTTACCTGACAAACGTAGAAATATCTAAAAAAATTGGGGATAAATCTTTTTTGCGTGTTATGCCAAAACCATGAATTTACGCTTTTGCTTTATTAAAAATAAGTGACTTTTGGCTAACCCTGTATATATCAAATAATGTGAACAGTATTAAAAAGTATTCTCCAAGTTTCCTCAATAATATACTCCAATTTTATAAAAATCGGTGTACAAATGTGTACTTTGTCAAAGGTAGACTTTGAGAAAAAGAAAAATTTCAACAAAAATCATGAATTTTCAAAAAATTTCGAGAATAGGAGCAGCTAGGATTTTGGTAAATATCATTTTTAAGTCACCAAAGGGTCCCGAACAAGAAACTGATCTAGCAGCGAAGCGCGCCGCGTACTGATCAAGCGCCCGCCGCGGGACAAAAAATTTAATATCTCCGGAACGACATATGAAGGACAAATTTTTGAGTACATCTTATAAAACAGAAGAACATATAAAAAATTTCAATTGTTTATTAAAAATGTATGCAAAACTCTTTTATTTAAACAAACTTTCCTTAATTAAATGATCATTCTATAGTCTAAACATTGCTACAATAGTGTTTAAAATTTAATTCAATTATAAAGAGTGGTCCCAGAGATTCTATTTTTTCAATTTTACCGTGCTCTTAAGTTTTACAAAATTATTAACTTTAATAACATTAACAAAACACCGAATTTCAAAACAAATTTTTTACTGTGACATATGCGTCATGCCTACTACACAATAATGTGATTATTTTCAAAATCGGTGATTTCGTGAAATTTTCTGGTCCCACTTGACGTGGCTTGACTCCCCTTACTTAACAAATACTTACCCTTCAGGATGATCTTTCGTTTTGTTGGTGAGCGCTACGGAGAATCCAAAATAGTTCTCATTTGATCGCGAATTAGGGTCTTCAAAAATAATCGCTTGGTCAGAGTCAAAATTGAAGGCGTCAGTTTTTAGAAATATTGAAAATAAACACAGAATTTTATACATATTTGCAGCAGTAATGTTGAAAAACGACTAACCTGACTAAGTGGAAATAGCCCAAAGAATTATATTATCCGGCTTAGCGGGCAACCGCATAAATTTAACAAAAAAATATTATATTATAAAAAATTAATAGAAGCGACCACTGAATAATTTTGGTAATTCTACAAAATTAGCTGTAAGATATGGGGTTAAGTAAACTTATAACTTATAATAATATAAAAATGTTTTTGAAAAAAAATTCTTGATAATTTAGTTATAAAATAAAATTAAATTAAATATGGATTTAAAAAATATGGATTTTAATCATAGGCTTAAATTGCTTGTTTTTGTAAAACTAGGATTTTGATAGAAAATGAGTTTTGATCATAGACTCAAAACGCTTTTTTTAATTAAACCAAGTTTTCAAAGATTTTTGTAAAATTATGAATTTTAATTGGCAATAGGATTTTGATCATAGTACTCACAACTAGTAAATTATTATTACTATTGATATCGACGCTTCTTCCAATAAAACCTTTGTAAAATGAAATTCGACCAAAATCTAAAGTAAGATCATGTGTTATAAAAATTAAGTAATACTTAATGGTAATTAATTAATTACTAGAGTTCTTGAAATCCAAAAGCGAACAGCCTACTTTAAAATTGCATTTATACATTGCTCCCCCACTCCACCTTGGGATAGTTTGCTTAGGGGCTCCAATAAAAATGCTAAAATATAGTTAGCAAAAAGTACCCCTGAGTCAAGCCACGTCAAGTGGGACCAGAAAATTTCACGAAATCACCGATTTTGAAAATAATCACATTATTGTGTAGTAGGCATGACTCATATGTCATATGTTTTTTTGGTATGTTATTAAGGTTAACAATTTTGTCAAACTTTAGAGCACGGTAAAATTGAAAAAATAGAATCTCTGGGACCACTCTGTATAATTGAATTAAATTTTACACACTATTGTAGCAATGATCATTTAATTATAGTAAATTTGTTTAAATAAAACAATTTTGCATTCATTTATTATGAACAATTGAAATTTTGTATGTGTTCTTCACGCTGAAAAAAAATTAAACTTGTGTCATAATACGCCGCAAACGTTCCCGTTTAATAAAATGTACTCAAAAATTTGTCCTTCATATGTCATTCCGGAGATATTAATTTTTTTGTCCCGCTGTGCGCTTGATCAGTATGCAGCGCGCTTCGCTTCTAGCTCGTCAGCATGCGGTGTGCCTGAACGAGGTTTAAGTCACATAAAAATGCTGCCAAAAACTGACTGCAGTTTCTTGTTCGGGACCCTTTCACACCCCGCCTCAAATGGCTAAAAGTTTTGTTGCTGTGACGACAGGTAGCCTACCTGGTATATAATTTTTATCCCTTGTAGATATTAACTCCATTAAAATTAAAATCGAACCTGCTTAGTTATTCGAGTTATGTCAAAAATAATTAATTTTATATTATTTTTATTATTTTGTACTTTATAAATATATTCAATTATTTAGTTCCAAATATTTACATAGCAGAAAATTTTAAAAAATATAAAAATAAAGATCTAGATTGCATAATATTATGCTTTTTGCACATGCGCAAAAGCCTGCTACTTTTATTGTTGTTTAAATAAGTTGTCATTATTAACTTGTCAATGTTTTTCACAACATTTAAGATATTTTTTCGTTGATTTCTTTCAAATATGTCAAAATACATATGTCACAACAAAAATAGGGAAAAAGTTTGTGCACCTTGTGGTGGAAAAATTGTATTTGGAAAAAAACTTGCAGAGAATTTTAGAATAACCGAAGAATTAGCAGATCTAATAAGAAAATATTCAAATTCCAGTTTCTGTTTAAAGAATCCAATGTTTCCTGTTTGTATATGTGTAAGTTGCAGATTGGCATTGTCAGAACGGGAAAAGGGTAAATTTAGAAGAACTTTACCAAATATGCCTAATTATTTGGATATCATATTAATGAAGAAAACTCGTGCACAGGTGCAAGAGAGCAATTATTGCAATTGTTATATTTGTGAAAAAGCAAGGTTTGTTGGACATATAAAAAATAGAAAAGGACCTATACCTCGAAATATTTGAAATAGAATAACTAAAAATAATAAATATGGGGCGAAGTCAATAAAAAAAGAAGAATCTTTAGAGATACACACACCCAATTTTAAGCTTAAGATAGAAAAAAGGTGTAAAAATTGTTTCGCGGAAATGGGAAAAGGTAAGCCGCATATTTGTAATGGCTCTAGCGATATCCATAATAAAATTCGTAAAAATTTAGAAAATATAATAGAAACACTACATGAGTCTCAACAACTTCGAATTGTAAATAATATTGTTAAAAAAAAAGTTTCTAATACAAATTTAATTACCAAAACAAATGTTACAGTAAATTTAAATACGTGAGGTCGAAAAAGAATGATAACATATGGGCAAAAAAAACAAGGTATAGACACTGCAAAATTTTCAAATGTTAGTTTAGACAATTTACAGAATAATTGTGGATTTTCCAATACTACTATGCAAAAAGTAACTAATTTTATTCGATGTAACGCTGGTAAGAAATCCATATCCCCATATTACCGCTCACATGTTTCAAAAAACTCAAAGCGCCTTGCGGATTTGTATAAGATGAATGAAATGGAATTTGAAGTTGGTGAAATAAACAGTTTAAAACAGAAAAGAACTGTAGTATGGGCCGATGCAGAGGAATTAGTTGAAATGGTTTTGAATGAACGTAAACTTATAGGAAATTATACAGTTAAAATTATGGCAGACAGCGGGCAGGGATCATTTAAAATATCTATGTCAATTGTTCCAGAAAATAACCAATTGGAACCTTTTGAAACAGAAGAAATATATGATAATAATTTTGTTGAAACTGCTAGTAAAAAAAGAAAAACATATTCCGAGCTCGGAGGGAGGCACTGTTGGTAGTAAGGCCAAGTTAACCAGTGTTCAAAGGATTATTATCCTATGTCTTGTACCTGATATAAAAGAATCATATTTTAATATTGCTTTACTTTTTAAATTAATCAATCTTAATAACATATCATTTAAATTTTTATCAGATTTTAAAATATTATTAACCATAAATGGACAACATACCGCAACAGCTACTTTTCTGTGCCCATTTTGTTTTATAAATTTAAGTGAATTAAGATGCCCAACCAACCAAAATACAAGAGAAAATGATCCAGTAGAGTACAATCCATTAAATTTTAAAAATTTAAAAACCTTTGGAAATATAAGAAAAGATAATAAATCATTTTGCTTAAGTGGAAAGAAAAAGGACCAAGCAAAACTATATCATAGCACAATAAATCCACCTCTTTTTGAGGAACTAAACGAGACTTATGTAATTGAAAAGTGCATTGTTCCTGAATTACATATTCTACAAGGATATGTAAATCATATTTTCTGGAACAGTATTGTGAAAGTTGTGGGCAGAGATAAAGCTTTATTGTGGCCACAAAAGTTATGTCTTGTAAGCAAAAATTACCACGCAGAAGTATTCGAAGGAAACGCGTGCCGAAAATTATTAAGGGAGCATGAAAAATTGCAAGACAAAGATATATATGGAGATAACGAACCATTAAAAAATGGATAAAATTGTTCATAATTGCTTTTCTTCTCGAAAAAGTAATGTAAATTTAAATTTATTAATTAAGGAGCTAAAAGAAGCATATGATGCTACCGAAATATCCAAGACATTAAAAGTTCATGTCATTATGGAGCACATTGAGCAATTCTTGTACTTTTTAGGCCAGGATGGCCTAGGAATTTGGTCGGAGCAAGCTGGTGAATCCATTCACTATGAATTTTTGAGATTTTGGAATAAATATAAAATCAATTCACCATCCCACCCTTTGTACTCCTCGAGATTAAAATTGGCTGTTGTTGAATTTTCTTCACAACATATTTAATTTTTATGTAAAATTTGTTAAATAAATTGGTTAATTGTTGGGAAATATTATTTTAAATATTATTTTATACATATTTTTTGTCAACAGGTTTTTGCTAAAGAATAAACATTTGATCCAAAACAAGCTTTCAGCTGGTAAAAAAATGTCAATTAAACTCTTATTGCTCTAACGCCCTTAACTTATGATGTATAATTATTATGATAAGATTGAAATTATTATAATATAATAACTAATATAAATATTTTTTTATAATATAACAACCCAAAGGGGGCTAGTCAATTTATGTCTTGATTTACAGTTACCTATTTAATTATTTAATAACTCGAAAAACTAAGCAGGTACGATTTTAATTCCAGCAGTATTTTGCTACTCCAGGAATGAAGAATCAATATACATTGGCAAATTTTGTCGTCACAACAACAAATCTTTTAGCCCCTTGAGGCGGGGTGTGCTTTGGTGACTTAAAAATGATATTTACCAAAACCCTAGCTGCTACTCTTTTCGAAATTTTTTGAAAATTCATGATTTTTTTGAAATTTTTGAAGATAAATATTTTTTGTGGATTATGCTTTTTACTATATATAGATATATAGATTATGCTTTTTACTATATATAGTAAAAAGCATAATCCACAAAAAATATTTATCTTCAAAAATTTTTATATATAAAAACGTGATTTTTGGCTAATCCTAATGATGGGCTCAGTATAAAAACAGTATTCTCTATGTCTCGTTAACAATATACTCCAATAAAAATCGGTGTACAAATGTGTACTCTGCAAATTTAAAAAAAAGGAGTTAAAACCCCAGTAGCACAAAGATATTGGCCCAATATTCGTTTTATATATTGGGCCAACATATCTTTCGTCAGATTTTTTCTAGCTTGGTCCAATATTGAAACCCAACATTGGCCCGAAGTTGTTTGACATTATATAACCGATATTGGAAATCCATATTGGCCCGAAGTTGTTTTACATTATATAACCCATATTGAAAATCCGCATTGGCCCAATATTTGTTTAACCTTAAATTTTAAATTTTATAAAAAGCTTTTGCTAAAAGTAAGTAGTGGGACCCACTGCTTACTTTTGGCAGAGTGGGCCACATGACCAGCTGTGTCCCTTCAAAACTTACAAGCAGAAGCGGTATGGTCAGTAATTTTGCCTTAGTAAGAAATTCTAACTTAACAGCTTAAGGCATTCCACCTTTATAGGAGTATCTATTGTGCTACAGAGGCGAGAGGTATGCATGGGTTGCCTACATATTGGCGAATTTTGAAACATTTGAAACAATATGGGGCCAACATAGCACACACATCGACTATGATATATTGGATAATCATGTTACGCCAATATAGGACCAACCTTGGATAAATATTTTAATGATATATTGGCTTAAACTGATATGCCAATATTGGACCGATCTTGGATAAATATGTTTAATGATATATTGGCGTAAAATGATATGCCAATATAGGACCAACATTGGATAAACACTGGCAAGATATATTAAATAACCATTTTATGCCAATATAGGGCCAACATCGGCTAAATAAATCCAATATTGGTCCCAGATAAAATATTGGGCATATATGCGCCCCATATAGGACCAATATTTTGTGCTACTGGGGAATTTTGGTAAAACAACATTTTAAATATTCTCTAAACGCTATTTTATTTAATTTTATTAAAAATCTATTTTTCTTGTGAAAGGTTAATAGAATGCCATTTTGTAACCTGACAAACTTAGAAATATCTAAAAAAAATTGGGGATAAATCTTTTTTGCGTGTTATGCCAAAACCATGAATTTACGCTTTTGCTTTATTAAAAATAAGTGACTTTTGGCTAACCCTGTATATATCAAATAATGTGAACAGTATTAAAAAGTATTCTCCAAGTTTCCTCAATAATATACTCCAATTTTATAAAAATCGGTGTACAAATGTGTACTTTGTCAAAGGTAGACTTTGAGAAAAAGAAAAATTTCAACAAAAATCATGAATTTTCAAAAAATTTCGAGAATAGGAGCAGCTAGGATTTTGGTAAATATCATTTTTAAGTCACCAAAGGGTCCCGAACAAGAAACTGATCTAGCAGCGAAGCGCGCCGCGTACTGATCAAGCGCCCGCCGCGGGACAAAAAATTTAATATCTCCGGAACGACATATGAAGGACAAATTTTTGAGTACATCTTATAAAACAGAAGAACATATAAAAAATTTCAATTGTTTATTAAAAATGTATGCAAAACTCTTTTATTTAAACAAACTTTCCTTAATTAAATGATCATTCTATAGTCTAAACATTGCTACAATAGTGTTTAAAATTTAATTCAATTATACAGAGTGGTCCCAGAGATTCTATTTTTTCAATTTTACCGTGCTCTTAAGTTTTACAAAATTATTAACTTTAATAACATTAACAAAAAACCGAATTTCAAAACAAATTTTTTACTGTGACATATGCGTCATGCCTACTACAAAATAATGTGATTATTTTCAAAATCGGTGATATCGTGAAATTTTCTGGTCCCACTTGACGTGGCTTGACTCCCCTTACTTAACAAATACTTACCCTTCAGCATGATCTTTCGTTTTGTTGGTGAGCGCTACGGAGAATCCAAAATAGTTCTCATTTGATCGCGAATTAGGGTCTTCAAAAATAATCGCTTGGTCAGAGTCAAAATTGAAGGCGTCAGTTTTTAGAAATATTGAAAATAAACACAGAATTTTATACATATTTGCAGCAGTAATGTTGAAAAACGACTAACCTGACTAAGTGGGAATAGCCCAAAGAATTATCTTATCCGGCTTAGCGGGCAACCGCATAAATTTAACAAAAAAATATTATATTATAAAAAATGAATAGAAGCGACCACTGAATAATTTTGGTAATTCTACAAAATTAGCTGTAAGATATGGGGTTAAGTAAACTTATAACTTTTTTTTAGAATAATCCAAATATAAAAATGTTTTTGAAAAAAAATTCTTGATAATTTAGTTATAAAATAAAATTAAATTAAATATGGATTTAAAAAATATGGATTTTAATCATAGGCTTAAATTGCTTGTTTTTGTAAAACTAGGATTTTGATAGAAAATGAGTTTTGATCATATATGTCTATAGACTCAAAACGCTTTTTTTAATTAAACCAAGTTTTCAAAGATTTTTGTAAAATTATGAATTTTGATTGGCAATAGGATTTTGATCATAGGCTCAAACTGCCTACTTTTAAATAAAACAAACTGCGACGATTTTTGTCAAAATCAAGGATTTTGATCGAAATTATGGATTTTGATCATAGTCTTGATTTTGAAAAAAACAAACTTTGTTAGGATTTTTAGAAAGTTGTAGATATCTTAAAAAACTGACCAATTTGTCTAATTGTGGTTTTTAATCGATATTATAATTATAATTCTATAGAATGAAAATTAAAGTCATTTGGGAAATTATGAATTTTGATCATAGGCTTAAAATGCTGTTTTTAATGAGACAAACTTTGCGAAGATTTTTGGAAAATCATGGATGTTGATCATAATTATGGATTTTGATCATAGGTTCAAAACGCTTGCTTTTAAATGAAAGAAACGATTTTTGTAAAATTATAGATTTTTAAAAACTTTTTTTCATTAATCTAGACAAATAAAAATTCGTTATTTTTTAAGGCAATAATTTGTCTAATTTATTATTTTAATCGAAATTATGAATTTTAATCATAGGACTCAAACTGATTCTTTTTTAATAAAACCAAGCAAAGATTTTTATAAAATTATAAATTTTCAGCCTCAAAATTGCTTGTTTTTGAATAAAACAAACTTTGCACCATTTTTGTAAAATTATGGATTTTGATCATAGGCTCAAAACGCTTGATTTTGAATAAAACAAACTTTGTTAGGATTTTAGAAAGCTTTTTAAAATTTTTTAACGTACCAATTTGTCTAATTGTGGTTTTTAATCGAAATTAGAATGAAAATTAAAGTTATTTGGGAAATTATGGATTTTGATCATAGGCTTAAAATGCTGCTTTTTTAATGAGACAAACTTTGCGAAGATTTTTGGAAAATCATGGATGTTGATCATAATTATGGATTTTGTTCATAGGTTCAAAACGCTTGATTTTAAACGAAAGGAACGATTTTTGTAAAATTATGAGTATGAGTATGAGTATAAGAGACGTATAACCAGCCCCATTTCCTCTTGACTCGCGAACCCCGTACAGGCCTATGTTTACTTGCGCCGATTTTTTTTCTTCCCCAGCAACTGCACGGCTTCACCCGTGTTTGCTGGGTGCGAATGTCCATTGCGTTTCGTACTGTCCCCTATTTGGGGCTCGAGAGCGAGAGGCGAATAGTTATAATAGCCATTCCCGGGTTCGCCGAGCCTATGCTATACGCTCGGTGGGGTGTGGATGAGGGACGGGAGGGAGTTGGTTTTTGGGGGACAATTACGCCGACTTAAAACTAAGTACGACGCGGAATCCCCCTAGACCAGTCGATTAGTTTTACTCCAAACATTTGGGATTACTATTTGGAGTTGGGGAGTTGTTATTTCGCTGCAGGGGTGTAGTCGAGGTCTTTGTCTTGTTCGTTATTGTCGTTGTCCGTGTCCTGGTCAGATAGCTCCTGCCCTTGGTAAAGTGTGTCAGTTGTTTTTAATAATTTTTGTCCCAAGCACGTTTTGTGGTAG